TCATCTCTAAGCAATAGTATTAAGCAATTATATAATTCAATTGTATAAGTATTAGGCTATGAATATTGCAATTTAATAAACTCAGATACATGCAGATTTAATAATAGAAAGATTCGAACTTAGCAATCTTGTATTCAGCTAAAAGATTATAATCTTTATAGTATGAGCAAAGCATAAGCGAAAGAGAACCGAAAGTAGCTATAGCAGAAAGAAGGAATGATTTCTGCGAAGAACGAGAATAAGGCTTAATAATATAACGAGAACTAACTCTGTTCAACATCTTGATTAGAAAAGCAAGATTACAAATAGAAGATTTATTAGAATACTTACAAAAGATCGTTGGAAATAATAACTAATAGAAGGAAGATAATGTTATAACTCATTCAATATACAGATTACAGAATAGATTACGAGTAATAGGAATCAGATATCAAGAATTCAATATTCTAATAAAGTATTGATTATATAATTTAGGAATAGAGTTATTAGCGGATAGATACAATCAATATCTATTCTGTTAATGAGAGAATTGATGGAATCAGCATTAATTCTATCTATTCGGACTGAAGAACCAAGTATATGAAGATTTACATTTCCTACTATTAGATAGATTTTCTTTAGATAGTTCTTCAGTTGTTAATCTAAGTATTCAGTTTAATATACTGAGTAGCTTCAAAGGCAATGAATACTTGCATTGCTTATTAGAACTTATACAGTTCTATATTCAAGAACTTAATACTTTGATATCGCTCTTATTAGCATAAACTCTTCGTGTATTTAGGAATCTTCGGATTGCTGCAGTGCTCATTATAAGAAAATACTAACAAATAATATAGCAGAAGTAGAAAATAATAAATCAGAATATAAGATAGAAAAAATTCTTAAGCATAGAAATACAGATAATATAAAGAAATATCTCATCAAATGAAAAGATTATTCAGCAAATGAAAATTCATGGAAATTATGAGAGAATATTGAAAATGCTTAGGAAAAGATAGCTGAATATTGGAAAAGAAAAGCTAGCACCTAAGATAATCGCTTCGCCCCAAACCAAGATCCAGAGGCTTCAGAGACCTCGCCCTCCAGGAAATCCAACTAATCCACCACTGCATTTCCTACATCCACGGAATTCCAGTTAAAACTCTCAAAAGAAGAATCTCCAGCAATCACAGCAGATTCCTCTGCAACCACAGAACGAACCCCAGCAGCAATGCAAGCTCGCTCCTTCTCAGCTTTCTTACATTCCAACTCCTCCATACTAGAAAGGCCTCAATAAATAGCTTTCATTATCCTCTCAAACTATAGACGCTTCTGCTTCCGCAAACATCCTATCTCTGCAGCAGCATTGTACAGCTGCTTCTCAGCATTCTCGAGTTGGTTCTCCAAGCATTGGTATTGAATGCCTATCTAACGAATTTCCGCTGCGCTCAACTCTTAAACATTGCATTAAGAGCAATCCAGGCGGATACATTCAGTGTAGCAAGAGAAATCCTTAATGGAGACTTAACAAGACTGAATATCACAATCCTTATAGAAGGAATAAGAAGATATAATAATAGCATTTTGAAGAATTAAGGAAAGAAAAGAATTCTTTTATCTAATCTTCTCAGCATAAGAACAAGGTTTGTTGATTCTATTCGACATCTCAATCAGGAAGGCAAGATTATACATATGAAGAACTTGCTAGGATACTTACAGAAGATTGTTAAGAATAACAACTGATAGAAAGGAGATGATATTATAACTCATCCAACATGCAGATCACAGAATAAGCTCTACCAACCAAGGATTAGATGTTAAGAACTTAATGTTCTAACAAAGCATTGATTACATAACTCAGGATTAGGGTTATAAGCATAGCCAATCAGAAAGGATAGCTTCGAATATATGCTATCCAGAGCTAGCAGAATAACTTAGATATGTTGCTATCTAACATATCCATACTGAAGAACTGGATATATAAGAACATGTTCATTATCATTAGATAAATTCAGTATATAGCTCTTCAGTTATCAATCTAAGTATTCAGTCTTCTATACTAAGTAGCCCCAAAGGCAGTGAATACTTGCATTGCTTATTAAGACTTGTACAGTTCCGTATTCAAGAACTTGACACTTCGACACTGCTCTTGTTAGCATAAACCTCCTCGTGTACTTAGGAATCTTCGGATTGCTGCAGTGCTCATTACAACATAGCTCTTCAGTCATCAATCTAAGTATTCATTTGTTATATACTTGAATAGCCCCAAAGGCGAATGATTAGCACTTGCACGGATTACAGTTATATTTCCGTATTCAGTGGATTCTACTTTGACACCGCTCTTATTAGCATAAACCTTTTGTGTACTTCAGATCTTCGGATATTGCAGTGCATATCATTATACTGAGGCTTACTGCTGCTTACTGAAGCCTGATGAGCACTGGTAAGCTCCTCTGATTGGTTGGCCTGTATTAACCCTAACCCTTGATTACCTAATCTTGGTTGGGCGTGTTTATCCTTCAAACTGCAATTGTTGGTTCCTTTGTTGGCGGGGCCTGTCCTGTGACCTGCATGTCGGATGGGTCATAACACTTAGAGAAGGAAAGCAACCAACGTCAAGCCTTATTACATATCTGACAAGAGCTTCATCTTCCCAGAGCTCAAGAGCTGGTGGACAGCCTCGAGATTTCGTTGAGTAGGCAGGAAGGCTTTTCTGATGCAATACTGCAACATGCTTTCTCAGCCCTGATTCGCTGTATAGTATACTCTTAGCAAAAGATCGTAGAGAAGTTCTTAAGAGCTTGAGGGGCTTCGGGTCTTCTCGTGGGCCTTGTAGTGGGCGATTGCGCCCTCGACGCATCTGCCACGCATTAAGGGCAACCTTGAATGCCTCGTAGGCAGCATCTTCTTGGGCCTGAATGGCTACGAAACTGCTGGCAGCTTCTGCGTACGATTGAAAAGAGTCAGATTCGGCCCTGGGGGAGGAAAAGGAAGCCATTGCGATGGTTGTTGAGGAGAAAAGGACGAGGGAGGGTGTGTGTGTGTGATCGGGATAAAGGGATCGAAATGCGCACTATTTTTGGCTGCGCACGGTTTTGGCACCCACTACCGGAGGAACGGAGGTAGTGGGCCAGGAGGGCTAGTGCCCACGAGTACTGCAGTGCTCATTACAGAGGAGCGTCGACAGGAGGAGTGTTAGAAGAAGGAGAAGCGTCGGAAGAAAGCGAGTCGAGCTGCTGGGTCGGTTGTAGAAGTTTCTTTAGTTTGCGGAACTCCTCACGAAGCTTTGAGTTCTGAAACTCGAGATTTTTATTCCGGTTAATGAGACTTTCTATTTCATCTTTCTGGTTATAGTAAAGTCTTTTGACATTCTTGTATTTTTCTTCTATGGATTTATATTAGCAGTCACCCTGTCTTGAAGCACAAAGTATGCGCACGAACCCAAACTTATTTCAGCATTGGCTGATTGCTCTGGGAGCTTCGAGCTGTTGGCATTCTGCTGTTGGCTGACATGTCGAACAGGAACAGACGGTATCGATCTGGTCGTGGCTCTCGGGACCTGCGCCGAAGCTGATGTATGAGATTGTGCTTCGCTATGAGTTCCCTCGTACGCTAAGTAGCGCCTTTTCAAGACTGTCTGTTCTTCAGTGTGGTCTTCTGAGATAGTCCATCGTACTCGCTTAGTTCCGTTACTCCCGCTAGAAAGACCGGAGGCTTCGATTCGGCCTCCGGAGAAGGAGAACATTGTGGCTCGAGCGCAAACGATTGAAAGCTTGCGGAAGACTGCTGAAGAGTAAGACCTTTAATCACAAGACAAAGAGACTTAGCATTGAAAGAACATAAGCCTGATCAAACTCAAATGTATCATGATGTGGCTTACGGTGCATCAAAGTTTTGATGCAGTTTGAATAGTTGAGTGGTAATTTAGGTAGGCCGAAGAAGCATTGTAGAATAAGGAAGGCAGTGGCTTAGTGATCAGCAGATGAGCAAATGCCCTTAGCGCTTACTTTGCTTATTTATTACCCCCTATAGTTCCCATAGATACTCGTGCAGTTAGTGAGCGCCCCCTGGAGAACGAACATTTGATCCCTTGATGCGGCGGCAGCTGCGATCATCTGCGCTGCAGCTCAAGATATTGCTGCGCGTCAAGAGGAGATCTCCGATGGCATCATGACTGAGAGTCGAAAGTGTGAATACGCAAAGCAGGTTCTGATTGATGCTGCTTCCAAGTGAGCGAGGGGAGTCATCCTTTCTCTTGTTTGCTATAACCCCAGCAAGCAAGCATAGCACACTCAATGGGTCCTAAATCAAGGGCACCTAGGGGCCGGCGCCTTCCCGACCTCCCCAATAAGGAGTTTTGGATATCGCAACCCAAGTCTTGGGCTAATACCTAGGAGTTGTTGATGGTGGGTAGACTGTGGTTTTTCTTTTGGAAGAAAACCTTTTGGGCCCATTCAATTCGCAGGTCACGGAACTGGGTAGATCGCAAGCAAAGAAAGTACCAGGTGCAATAGACCTGGCCTGTCATTACCCCTAACCCCCAAAATTAGGGGCACACCTACTTGGTTTGGTTTCGTAAACCAGTTTTCTGTCCCTGCTAGTCTTTTGCCAGTATCATAGCTTTTCAAGAGCTACGATGTACATCTCGTCAACGAAGCCTGTACCTACAGTAAGCAGACATGCAGAGCCTGGTTTTCTCTTACTGAAGAACAAGTCAGCAAATGGGTGCTGGCTGGTCAATGGAAGCGCCATGGCTGTTTTGTCTCTTTCTCTGACATGCATGAGAGGAGGAAGGAAAAGGTTCATTATGAGTCATTCTGACTGCGTCGTTTTCCAGCGAAGGGCGCCGTTCGGCCGCCAAAGCGTTGTCAAACTGGTCGCGGAATGGGTTGCAGCGCAGCAGTAGTTAGCACGCATCGCCTGGGGTTTCCACTAGGTATATAAATCTTGATCATCTCGAATCGTCCGTTCTCGACGCTCTGATTTTCTTCTCCAGGTCACCCCCTTCCCCATCTTTTTTTGGTTGATGGTCACACCACAGTCAGTGTTGATCTAAATTCTTTGACCTTCACTTCCTCCCCCGCACAGGAGGGAAAAGCCTAAGTCGGCCTCGTCCCCAGAGGCCGTCTCGCACCCTGTCACAATGGCCGCAGCAGGATCCGCATCCAGCTGCGCGACGCGCCAGACCGCAAGCGCCTTCTTCCGTCCAGCCCAGCAATAGTTCTCTACAGCACACTTCCCATCCAGAGCCCCCAACAGCATCTCTTGACCTTGACCTCGATCTCGACTTCTCGCAGCCGCACTTCTTCAGCCCGGACTCGTGGTCCCAACTGGGCCAGCTCCCAGCGGCAGTCGACGACGATTTAGAGATGGCGTTCGGACAGACCTGGGCGGACTCGGGCGAGGGCTTCGCTGCCGCGCCTCCTCTGGACCTCGACTTTTCTTTTGGTCAGTATACCCGTCGCCGTCTTTGACGGACCACGAGCTCCCAGCCCGCTAACAACCGCCATCTCAGACCCTGCCTTGATAGAATCACTCCCGGATTCCATCCCAGACTTCTTCCTCGTCACCCCCCGTAATATGACCAGCAATCACGACCTGCAGCAGTCTCAACAGTTTCAGTCTCTCACGCTCGATCCCTCGCCACCACAACCATCCTCCAGCAACCTTGTTCCCAACCCCGAAACCCACTCCCGGCCTTCCTCGCCCTCCGAAAGCAGCCCGCTCGTTGGGGGAAATAGCCGGGCCGGGGCCGGGCGACAAGTTGGGAGCACTAGGCGCGAAGATGACCCCGACGTCGTGCTCAAGAGGCAGCGCAACACAATCGCTGCGAGAAAGTATCGCCAGAAGCGCATCGACCGCATCAAGGAACTGGAGGACGCGCTGGAGGATATGACCAAGGATAGGGATGATCTGAGGTTGAGGTTGGCGAGGCAGGAGGCAGAGACGGCCGCGCTCAAGGAGATGATGCACATGAATACTAGGCAGGCTAGTGATAAAAATTGATGCTCGTTCTCTTCCAATCCCGCCCATGCCAGGCAGCGAGCCTGTACTGCGTCAAGCTCGGATGCCCCTCCCTACGCGCATATAGAGAGAAAGCCCACTCCCCCGTCCCCCCTCTTTCGGCAGAAGGTTCGCGCAGGATGTTCTTGGATATTGACGTTTCCATGGCTCAAGTCTTGGACTTATGTGTTGCACTACGCCCTTGTTGATGAGGCTCTGGCCCGGGGAGAGTCATCCAATTAGTATATCTTACCTTGGATAGGTAAGCCCTCCAGCCCGTGCTTCTCTCGTTGGGGCAGAAGGCATGACGAGGACAAGTGGTCACCGATTCTCGCCCATGTGCAGAGAGGCACGAGGTAAGCAAGGTGGCTGGCGAATTGCCAGCCGCTTCTGTAAAATATAACCTTGTTGTGGTATGAATTTGCGTCTAAAATGAAAGATCGTACAAAAGCCCTTGATGAATCCCTGTCGCTATGCTGACTCTAATATGAGACTGTGTACACCTGGACGGTGCAAGTCCTAGGCGCCTACCAAGCCGTTGACTTGCTTCTTATATGCCCCTATTCAAGTCCTCTGACCGCGCTCCATCCTCATAAGGATATCAAGGGCCGCGTTGAGATCGATATCACCGTAATCTGTCTCCTGGGACGAAGCGGGGCCTTTGTAGCCGCCGACAAAGTCAGCGTTGCCTGTGTCTTGAGGACAGCATTCCGCTTGGTATGTTGCTCCTGCTGTAGCCTCTTCTTCTCCTCGTGGGCCTCGAGCGCCGTTCGCCTCCCCAGCACAGCGTCCTCCGACAACATCCATGAAAAGGTTACTCGTATGTTCGATCATGTCCCCGTGCAGCTGACGTTGCTCGCCCTGCGCTTGATTTTTCCGCTCGCGGATCCGTCGCTCATGCTGATTCTGCTCGTGACTCCGCTGCATTGCGACCAGTACCTCGAAACCAGGACCGCTTGATCCAAACATTCGCTTCTTTGGAGGAGAGGCTTGATATGCAGCATCATTGTCCGGAGCCTGAGCAGCCGTTTGCTGGGCATCAGTATATTCAGATCCGCCGGGGTTTTGACATGGTTGACCGGTCCGTGCCTCGGAAACGCATGCAGCAGCCTTGTCTACGGCACTTGATTCCACGACACCACCCTTTCCACATGGGCCACGAGCCTCGCTAGAGGTGTCTATCTCTTGGTCATCTTGAGATGATAGAATGTATACCTGCGTTGAGAGACGGGGAGCCTTCTTGGAAGGCTCTGTAACTGGAAATGGCGGACGTTGGGGGGGAGAAATCGGTTCGGCCGGTGCATATAACGCCTTGGCTGGCTCATCTTCGAGGGGCGTCTGCGAAGGAGGATCAGCTCGACTTCCAGATGTCTGAGACTGGTGCTCGGGGGAGCTGAATCCTCCATCATCATCAGCAAAGCTATCTGCTAACTCCCTTGCCTGCTGGGATGAGCTAGGGAACATGTCTTCTGCGTTGTTGAGGAGGAAAGCCTGGGTGCTTGCAGACAATACGCAGGCTTCAGAGGGATGCGTAGGCATAAGGCCTGACACAGTAGCTGGAGACTCTTCGGCAGGATCTTGGGCCTCTGCGTTCGTCAAAGGCATGGGGACAACGTCTGCAGCGAGCTGGTCCTCCAGAAGCTCCTCCTCCCAGGCCTCATCAATGCTGAGCTGTATATCCGGGGGAAAGGGGTCGGCATCGAGCTGTCGTGCTATGCTTGTCAAGGTACCAGGAGGGTGTTGATTAGGACGTGGGTCCGGCTCGTCTGCGTTTGTCTCACATAACTGGCCATATCGCGGTCTCTTGCATTCCCTCCCAGTCTCTAGGTCATCTTCCGCCGATTCGTAGTCGTCCTTCTTATCTGGTGCGTCATGCTGCTGTCCATATCTTGCCTTGGCGGTAGACTCAGCCCCGGAGTCGGTCTCAAGATCTTGCTCCCTGATGCTGTCGAGATGGTTTTCTATGGCTGAAGAGGCTTGCCTCTTCCCAATCCTGATAAACCTGGATATTGTGTCCTGGCTTGGGCGGACGTCAACCAGGGGCAGACCTTTCCTCTTGCGCTCGTCTCTTTCATGCTCCTCTCTGGCCTTCTTCTTCTCCCTGGCCGTCCGAGCCCTTGCCTGAGCTTTTTCCTTCTCGAACTCCTTGCGGATGCGGTCCTGCTCCATGAGCTCTATACGGCGCTGCTCAGCCTTTGAAAGTTTGGGGCCCTTATTGGCCTGCCTGTAGAGCTTCTTGGCCTGCTTTGTGGTCATAGGAGGTTTGTTGTAGACGGGCTGGGCATGCGCATGAGCTTGTGCAGGGTGCTGTTGGCCGGGCTCTGGGGGAGCCTGAAGGCCTGCTGGAGTGCTGGGGATCAACTCAAAAGTTTTCTGTCTTGGCGCCATCTTGAGAATTGTATGGAGTCGGAGACAGCCAGCTGGGAATGGAGGTGAAGAGATGTAGGTATGCCCTCAGCTCAGCCCAGCTCGGTTGCGTCCATTCCAGGAGGAACAATTGGCATCTGGTGTCAGAGGTATCACTGCTTTGCCTCACAATGCGTCGGAAATAAGTTGTCACTATTGAAGCATGGTCTGTCACGCAATGAATTAGAGCGGAGTGCAAGGACAAGTGCAGTGCAGTGTCGACTTAGGCGTCAATGTTGATCCAGGTTAGCCCCACCAAGCCTGCTTACTCGCGTGAGCACGTGAGCGCGTGATCCTTCCTGTGACAAGGAAAGAGGCAGCTGCTGGTCCAAGTGTACCACAGTACAAAGTCAATGACCTTGGAATCTCCAGGGGACTAGTGCCATCAACTCTGTGGATGTGCTTGTTGCGCAATACTGGATGTCGCCTTCATTCCAACTGGGGCCATTGCAATGGCTTCAATCCATCTGTCCACATTAGCCATCATCGCCAGATGCAAAACAACAAAACATATAATTCAGCATTCTAAATCCAAACACAATTGCGTCAACAAGTAGCAATTGTTATGTACAGCTAGAATGGGCTTCATAGCACATGCCAAGTAATTACACAGACCTTGCTGTTCTCACAGACATTTAAGGATGAGCGACCTTCGCACTAAAGCATGACTCCATTGTGGACTTCGATGGCGTAAGAGGCCAGACCCACTGCTGCGTTGATCCGGGGTAAAGCAGGGTCGCGCGCATGTTGTTGTTCACCGTGTTTGAACAAGACAAGCCGAGGCATATTGCAGCGTACTGCTTGGTGTTGTGGTCAGTTGAATCCTATCTGTGGTACGAGTGCATCGGCGCTGGCAACCACATCCTAAACACTTGACCACAAAATCATCTTGAATCTGAGGGAGCAGCCGGGCGAAGCGAGTGCTCAGGGCACACACTATTATTATACACAGGAACCCTAAGGAAGCCAGGGACGCCCTCTACTTTAGCAGGATGCGATAGACCTCCAGGGAGTATAGCCAGACCCCGCAACAACCTCTCAGATCCATCCTCTTCTTGCTCGGCTCGTCACCTCTGCATAGATGTCGTCAACACCTCGGCGCAAGATCGGCAGCAGGGCGTGCGATGGCTGCAAGATCCGCAAGGTGAGGTGTTCAGAGACGCCTCCCTGCACAAGGTGCTCTTCCGTTGGCATCGAGTGCACCTTCAACAAACTGCAGGGAATCCGTGGCCCCCGCAGTTTGCGGGCCAAAACGCTGGCTCAGATCCAGACCTTCCAAGAGAGTCAGCGTCCGAGCCAGAGCCAGAACTCGACCGGCGCCGGCTCTCTAGAGGGCTCATCAGCTGGCCGAGGCAACCATTCGGAGCGCGGGAGAACCCCGGTCTCCTCCCTGATCGTCCGGCTCTGCCTCTACAACCACCGGCTCTTCCCAGTGTGGCCCATCCTCAGTGTGGACAATGTGATCGCCAGGCTGCTGCGGGACCAGGCAGATGTGGAAAACTTTGCGCTCGCAAACGCTATATGTGCCGCCATTATTGCACAGCTTAAGCTGCCTTTTGAAGGCAGGACGGATGATGATGATCCAGCCACGGCGGCGTCCATGGCTGCCGAATGTCAGAACGCCAAAGCATCGCTGCAGGGCGGGGATGGAGGGCCCATCATGAACCTCAACATGCTTCGTATATCCTTCTTTCAGCACATCTATCACGAAAATCTTAGCCCGGGAGGCAGCAAGTCTCTGCTCTTCCTCCGAGAAGCCTTAACGATCGCACAGATTATGGGCCTCCAACGGCAGTCAACCTACGCCTCCCTGTCGGCAGAAGAGCAACAGATGAGAAGCCGCATCCTGTGGTTATTATTCGTCACTGAGAGGGGTGTTGCCATGCTGCATAGGCTCCCCACGATCTTGACGTGGCAGCCCAGTTTTCCCCCAGTGGGCGGACTGGACTGCGAACAGGACAAGGCGCAGATCCTGCCTGCGTTCAAGAGACTCGTTGAGCTTTTCTGGACACTCGACCAGGGCGGAGCATTCGACTTGATATATGCCGATAGCAGGGGCGACACACAAGGAAGCAGCCGCCTCGACTACATTCAACATTGCCTGCAGGAGATGGCGGCCGAGGAGCAAGATAGCAACGAAGTCCAAAGTGCTGACATACTGGTCACAAGATCTTGGATGCAAACAGTGCTCTGGCGTGTGTCCACAGACCCCCCTAGGACCTATAAGCAGACCAACCATGCGATCCAGACCTGTCGGATCATCAGCGACTTTCTCAGCAAGATCAACCGGTATTCAAAGACAGCACTCGAGGCTCACGGGCCGACCATCGAGTTGAAGATATACGAAATGGCAAATGCTCTGACAGACGCCTTGTCAACGGACCTGGATCTTCTACGGAGTTCCATCGGCATAACGGCCAGGCCAGTCGACATGCTCGTTCAGCTTCAGAAGCTCCTTGCGTCCTCGCGTGGAGGCAATAAGACACTCTTGACATTGCTGTGCGCCCGCATCGCCGAGGTTGAGCGCGGCGGACCGCCCAATCTGATATCTCCCGCAGCACCACTTGTGTTAGAGGTTGTAGAGACCCATGGTGACGATGCCAATGATGACGACAACGATGATGATGATGGTAGTGGCATTGCTTCTGGAGCAGTTGGTCCGCCAAGAGGGAGACTATCATATCCAGCATATCTCGACACGAGGCTGAATTTTCCAGCGCAACTGCCCGTGTGGCCAGAAATCCGTCGAGAACCTAGCTACAACGTGAACGTCGACCCCAGTATGGACTTGGAGATCATGTTCATGCAATTGGGGAATGGGTCGTAAAAGGCGTAGTCTATAGAGTTGAGTCAGATGTGTAGGGCTCTTTGGAGGGGAGGGGGACGAAATAACGATACTAATCCGGAATGCTAGCAATGAGAGACGACTTGCCATCAAGTTTGGTAATGAGGCCAGAGAGGGGTAATTGTATATTTTCGAAAAAATCGAATAGTGAGCACTCCAATCCCCCTTTTTTAACACCCCCCCCCCCAAAAAAAAAAGAAAGTTTCCTGGGTAGTTGATTGACAGCATAATTATCAAGAGCTTCGTCAATTCTACGCCACTACAGTCAACAGGGAAAGCGTGTCATTCACCTGATCCTGGACTTTAGAGTTCTTGTCGATAGTTTACTGCGTTTAGTAATAAGTTCGGCACTTTATAATTTTCTGGTGTCTTGTTGCAAGCAGGCTTCTCCTCAATCTCAGTGATTATCCATATTCACCCTATTCAATCAACAGACGATTCATATCAGGTCATCCTCTCTTGCTCGCCTCAAGGTCTCAACAAGGGAACAACGTAACCTAATAGATGCTTTCCAACAGTTCTATTCGGCCGAAAATTTGTGAACAAGTTCGCGCACGCTGGACATGATCAAGCTGCGGGGGATGTCTTTGCCCCATCTGACGAGAAACTTCCAGAATCCCAATGGCCAGTCTCATAAAGTCTACTAATCCTGCCTGGCCGGGTCCAAGTCTATCTTCCCCACAATCTCGTCAATCTCTGCCAGCACATCGGGCGTCAACTTGTCTATCGCCTTCAATGCTGCGCAATTCTCCACCACTTGGTCGGGCCTCGATGCACCTGTGATGACAGCTGATACGTTGTCATTCTTCAGGCACCATGCAAGGGCTAGCTGCGCCCGCGTGATGCCCAGCTTGTCTGCGATGGGCTGCCACAATGTTAGCCTCGGAGTACTATACACAAATTAATCACCAGGGGATTTGGATATCAAAACTTGCCTTCAACTGCCTGGCCTTGGCTATCGTGGACTGCCACTGCTCGTCCGCATATGAACTCCTCACCGAGCTGACGAATTTATCTTCGCCCTTGGCAAATCGTGATCCTGCTGGTGGCTCATCCGGGCTGTCATCGTACTTGCCGCTCAACAATCCGAACTGGAGCGGGCTGAATGTGGTCAACCCGATACCGAACATCTTGTATAGCCTCTGGAACTCGCCTTCGACCTTCTTCCTCGACAGCAGGTTATAGTGCGGCTGCTCTGCTATGGGTGGGATCAGCCCCAGCTGCTTTGCGATCCCGCACGCCTCTGCAATTTCGTCTGCCCCCCACTCGCTTGTGCCCCAATACAGAGCCCAGCCTTTCACTTCGATGACATGGTTAAAGGCTCTGACTGTCTCTTCGATCGGTGTGAGTCTATCTGGCCGATGCTGTTTGGGTGATATCAGCCATGCACACTTTCAAGTGGTCATGGTCAGGCCGCGGGGGACAACTTACGGCAAACACCACGTCGACATACTCCAGGTCCAACCTCTTCAGCGACGCACGGAGTCCCTCGATGATGTGCTTTCTTGACAGCCCGTGATTGTTGACCAGCACCTCTCCGTTGTGGGCTCCCCAGTTGAGCTTGGTGCTCACCACAATATCGCTACGACTCCACCCAAATTTCTTGATGGCCTGTCCCATAACCACCTCAGACTGACCAGCGGCATAGCTGCGAGAGAAGAGTGTCAGTACAGTGCCGTGGAAAAGTGCCAGAGACCCTACGCACCTCTCAGCAGTATCGAAGAAGTTGATACCGAGATCGTATGCCTGCTTCATACACGCCATTGTGCTTTCTGATCACTATACGTATGAGTGTCCAGGTCGGTCAGTTTCTCGAGATAATTAACAGCAGCTCACGCACCATTCCCGAGCTGCCCACCAAAGCTGTTCTTGATTGTCAGCACATCGCGTGGCCCTTCAGACATTTCCCTTGGCTCCCCTAATCAATTCCAGAGCACTTACGTGAGCCAGCCACCCAGCCCAAGTACGGAAACATGCAGGCCCGAATTCCCTGAACTTCATCAGCCCTCTGTGTTCGTGTGTTCTCGGTGCAATAACCATACCAAGCCTGCGGTAGGCCATGCCAGTCTTGCGAGGCTCTTCCCACGCCATTGTGCTGAATCAGGTCCCTATGTGACTGCCAGGTAAATATTATAACAGAGTCAGGCCCTTGTGAGATCACCGGACGGATAAGTCTTCGAGATGTCGTTTTAGGATGGGCAGCTGTGCCGATCGACGGAGTGAACTTCGAGTGAAAAGATCTCACTAATATCTGGTGACAGGACAGGACAGGACATCTTATCTTTTACCCCGCTACGACTTCCACAACCATTTTCTCCGCGACTATGATGAAGCCATGGAGAAACTCTCGGCATCGCAGAAACTGTGGGCCCAGGCTTGTCAGGCACGCTAGCCACAGTAAATCACCGCAAAACGAGCAGAATAAAATATGAATCCGGCAGAGGAAATTAGGATGGATACTGCCTTGATCAAGACTGCAGTTTAGAGTGTATTTCGCTTCCATGATCTCAATCGTTGCAGTGATGCCCATAGCCTGTGTTCCCCTTGCACTGTGAGAATCGCTATCTGTGTTGATTAGGTATTTAAGTAGTTGGTATCCATCAAGCTGCACTATGAATACGAAAAAATCCGTGGAAGCCCAAATGCGGTGTTCCTCCTTCGTGAATATTATTGACCATGAAGGTCGAGCCATCATGGACCGCCTAATTGACTAGCTATAGTAGCAGGAAGTCTATATAAGATATGTGGTAAATTATCATTGCTGCTTTTTGAAAGGCCATGAAATGTGTGATCACGAAACCCGAAGGACGGCTCTCTTTCTTCCTGTTTCTGTTTGACTTTCTCTTCTTCTCTTCTACAGTTCTCTCGTATGATCTCTCTACAACCTGCCCGTCATTGCAAATGCAGGGCGACAGGCTAAAAAGGCCGCTGCGGATGAAGCCGTTCAGAAGGAGGAACCCACCCACATTGATCACGCAATTTCTCCGTTATCACTGATTAATGACTGTATTCCTCACACATTGTCATTCATCGGGCCTGAAAAACAAATGTAACCTCGGGGCATCTCTGCGGGGTACTGCCCTGTTGCCTCATTCACAGCTTAAATAGCGTCGTCAATCCTCGTCGCATACGGACCTTTTATTGACCTACTCGACGTAGCCATCTATTTTCTGTTACAAGATCAGATCAGTCAATCCTCCCCAGGAAAAGAAGAAGAAGAAAAAAGGGAAACGAGAAATAACAACAGTAGCCATGCCTTCGGTCAAGTCTCCGACCAGCGAGGAGCAACTTGGTGGCCAATTCTTGGGCGGGAATACTCAAGCGCGTACGCGTCTTCTCAAGCCGCTCAAGTACAGTGGCAGTTTGGATAATTTCAAGCACCAAGATTTGACACCGGTGATCGGTCGTGAATATGAAGGCCTACAAGTGAGAGATCTTCTAACAAGCAACGATGACACTATAAGAGACCTTGCTGTCACAAGTCAGTCCACCAATTCTTCTTCCCTTTGCAGCTGCGATCTGGTTTGGGCTGGGCTGACATTAGATTTCTACAGTCTCGCAACGGGGAGTGGTTTTTCTTCGTGATCAAAATGTTACGCCAACTGAGATGAAAGATCTGATGCTGCGGATAACAGAGCTGTCTGGATGTGTAAGTTTGCTCCAGTATCGTTGAACGTATTTCACACGGCATTGAGCAGGTATGCATGGAATTAATCACTCGCTGACCGGCTTGGGGGCAGCCTGAATCGTCCGGCCTTCACATTCACCCCTTGACAGAGGAGGGGAGTGAGCTCGGCGACCAAATATCCGTCATCAGCAGCGAGAAGCAGAAGAAGGGCGGTGGCCTGACGCACCAGCTCTCGGACGTCAGCAGATTTGCATCGGCCGGATGGCATACCGATATCAGCTTCGAACCTGTGCCATCAGACTACGCCATGCTAAAGATCCACACTCTACCGCCGACGGGAGGGGATACTCTTTGGGCTTCTGGCTACGAGATCTACGACAGGTTATCGCCTGCTATGCGAACCATGCTGGAATCTCTCACAGCGACTCATGATGCAACGTTTTTCCTCGATGAGGCCGCACGCCTTGGGAACCCACTGAGGAAGGGCATCAGAGGAAACGCGTTGAATCAGGGAGACAGGCTGACAGCCATCCATCCTGTGGTCAGGACCAACCCTGTGACAGGTTGGAAATCCGTCTACGTCAATAAGGGCTTCACCAAGAGAATCAACGGAGTAACCAAGGATGAGTCTGATCTCCTACTGGGCTATCTCTTTAACATAGTCACGCAAAACCACGACGCTCAGGTTCGGTTCAAGTGGCGAGCGAACGATCTAGCCATATGGGACAACCGTTCCATGTGGCACTGCGCTACTTATGATTATGTGGAGGCTCGCGCCGGTGATAGAGTTTGTAGTCTTGGGGAAGCCCCGTATCTGGACTTGACATCAAAGGGCAGGAGCGAGGACCTTGGCTTCATGTAATTGCTCATCTGCCATAGAAGCTGACCCAGGGGAACCATTCTTAGCCTCTTCTATCATAATACACAAATGATGGTTTCTCATCTGAACGATTCAGGAATTGTGATCGCCTGCCTTGTCCGCAAAGTGTAACTCATATCTGCTGCACCTAGGGCTTCCAATTCCATCGACGCAGTCTCTTTTTACCATGGGATTTAACGCGGAGCCTTATCAATCATAAATCCTTTATTGATCGTCAGGGAAATGTTATGGAATCGAGGGCCAGAAGCAACCGCCAGCAGAGTCCTCCAGCAGGATAGGGAGACCCCCCAAAGGGTAAGTACTTACCTTTGACCCCGTAATCGACACTCAACAAATACCAAGTTTTTAGTAGACCTTTGTTGAAGGTTTATTAAAGTTTCTTCCCCTCGAGAAGTCTTTTGTCTTGAACATCCCAACACTATATATAGCAAGAATCACCCCTCTACGAAAGTATCTTCAATTGATGATGACATTTCCCCCTTGCAGAATCATAGGAGGGCAGTGCTGACAGCAGGGTTGTAACCGATTACAAAAGTATGACAAACAAGTAAGGAATTACTCAGATAATTGCAAGGCATTGTGAGTTCGTCAGAATAGTTGTGGCAACCATGAATATGCTCTCGCTTGAATCTGCCTCGCAGCTCAGTCTTGGAGACTTTCTTGGTTTTGAAACACACTGAACTAGGTGTAACGCAGTGTCATCATGTCAAACAGGAAGATGGCATCAGCTGCTTCAAAGCCGAAAGTTCGTACATCTTCGGTGCTGTTCTCGGGCTCGTTGTGCTGGAATCTTCACATGCCGTGGAGGCCTGGGGGGAGGTTAGAATGCGCAACCCGCCTAACAAGTTGGCCAGAACCGGAGGAAAGTCAAAGTTTCTAGGCATATGCACCGCCAGTGACGGAATGACCATTGCCCACAGCATCACCATCCAGAGAGATATACCTAATTTTCGAAGGCGAGCAAGAGAGCTGCCACACAGACCAGGGCCGCGGAGGGTGGGAACCAAGGCAGGCAAGGTAGGCAAGGTAGGCAAGGTAGGCAAGGTAGGCAAGGTAGGCAAGGTAGGCAAGGTAGGCAAGGTAGGCAAAGTAGGCAAGCAGTGGAAATATGCGACAGATCTGCAGATGAAATAAAACAGGGCCACTTATTGCTCTTCATACAGAAGCACTAGAAAATCTGCCAGAGCTGACTGAGGAGGCTGTGCAGCCAAGGAATACGCGCTGACAAGAATTGCAACACCTGAAATGCTCACCACCATGAGCACCGATGTGTCGACCTAAGCTCCCTCCCAATAAGCACATTGACGAGCCCGTCATTTAGCACCTTTCCGTGACATTCGCTACCAAGCCTGTAACACCGTCCTTGTCCATCGCCATGATGCCATGCCTGAAACCAGAGACGTAAGAATTCCCCCAACGCCATGCAAATGTGCTATTGTTCAGAAACTAGTATTTGAGTCGTCGAGGAAAGAAGGTCGGAAAACGTCTGCGGTGACGCAGCTCAGTTATATGAAGATGCCGACCCAGCTTTGGTTGTTGGTTACGTCCGAGTCGCAAGCATCAACCGCACAAAAGACCTTTGGCGTCTTGTATGAGTAGTTAACCCGAAATCCAAGCTTGTCGTAGTCCTTGCTTTTGTACTTCCTGCGATTCTCGTAGCAGTCTCGACAGTAGACCTAGACCAAATACACTCTTAGCAAGTACGAACCGAATGCTTCGTCTGGATCAGTAGGGAGGGACTCACGTGACCACAGCCCTTCACGGCCCAGAAGTGGTGCTCCTCGCGATCCTTCTTATTTCTGGGGCGCTTGGCGGGACGGGCACCGTCGTCATCGGCGGCGGCGGCCGAGTATTTCAGTTCATTGTCGCAGCTAGCGCAAACAACGACCATCTCGTCATTCGTATCCCTGTCAGGGCCAGTGTGGCGGGTAAAGCCTGGTCGGGCAGGAGGAGGGGGCTCGAAGTCGGGTTTGGGAGTGGGCTGGCGACCGGCCAGACCACCAAAGCCGTTCGCCTGGTAGTTGAACTCGGGCTGGTTGCCCGCAAGAGGGTTTGCATTCATTGCAAATTGGTGAGCCTCGATAATTTGGAGATCGGCTTCTTGATGACCGAAATGAGCGCTGAGAAAATCGGGGAAGAGGCCTCGAAAGCTGCTTATGTTGCCCAGTCTAGGGAAGCCTGGGATGAAGCCACGGCCGAGACCGATAAATTCGACGCTTCGTCTGTGATTTCGTTGGGCGGCAGACCGGGGGGCAGGCAAGCGACGGTCGGCTGGGATGTCAACTTCTTCGAACTCAACATCAAGCTCATCAGAACTGTTGGTAAGATCAATGACAGGGGTGTCGCGCTGCCCTCTCAAGACGCTGCCGTCACTGCGGGTAAGCGACGGGGTACGTGCGATTTGTGATGTTTGTCTACGCGGATTCGGCGGGAGTCCTTGCTGTCCACCCTGCCCTTGACCCTCAATGTTGCGGATGTTATCGACAACGATGGCTCGTTGAAGGTGAATAGGGCGCTGGTGGAGTAGGACCGGGCTCTCTGGTTCCTCGGTGAGATCGATCACATCGACGCCTTGTCTTTGCTGCGCAGCGTTATTGTGACGATGGGCGGATTGTCTGGCCTGCCCAGAACGCGTGGGATGCCTCTGCTGTTGGCTCTGCTGGCGTTGCACAGGAGGAGCCTGCATCTGGCGGTCCAAAACCACCTCAATCAGCTCATCATCTCCATCCTCGTCCGACACAAACTCCGAGTCAGAGCCCCAGTCCAGGGCGGGGGTCGGCCTCCCACCATCTCCGTCTCTGTTTGGGTGCGGCATGCTACCCTCCCGATATGCTCTTGCAGCCCCGTTGGCCACTAGGTAATGCAGTCGTCGTTCGTGCGGCGCAAGAATATCTTCTCTCTCCTCCGCCTCCTCCTCCTCCTCCTCTAAATCCTCGCTGTCGTCCAAAGTCACCGGATCTGAGCTGGGTTGACCAGCAGCAAAGGAGGCTCGTACGTTCTCGGCGGCACGGTGATTATGTTCTTGGTCTGACAGGTCGTCTCCAGAAGAGTCGGAGCTCGCTTGGATTTGGTATCGAGCCGGTCGAACTCTTGGCTGAGAAGGTGCGATGTCCCGGTCGTCGTCTGGCGATGACGAGGAAAAGATGTGATTAAAGCTGTTGCGGCCGGCGGATTGGTACGCTGGGCGATTTTGAAGTGGGACGGAGTACTGAGGCTGGGGTAGGCGCCGGTTCGGGTGAATGGTCGGCGTGAGGCTGGAGCGTCGTGGCGGGTGGCTGACGTCTATATGCTCCAAAGGTCTGCTCCGGTCGTGTGGGCGTGCAAGTTCTTGGGATGCTGCCGAGGCAGGGCCAGAACTCGAGGCTGGATCAAAGTCGACAAGAAGATTGAAAGAAGAGCCAAACCCAGATTCGGAGATTGAATCCAGAGAGATGGGGGAGAGAGACGAGAAAGAAGGTGCAGCGGTGTGGACTTCGAGGGAGCCTGAATCGACCGGAGAGGGGGGCACGAAGGCAGTGGAGGCGAGAGAGGTGGCGCCAAGGCTGTCCTCTCGCTGTCTGTCGTCGGGGTGGCCACTGTTGTAGCCGTAGTGACGTCGAGTCGGGCCAGAGTGTTGGTGTCCCTCGACGAGGTCGTCTGCCCTATCTGATTCAATCACAAAATCGTCCCGCCCAGCAGAATATCCCTCTTGTAGAGCCTCCTCGTTCCCTAGTCCGCCGGCTCGGTCTAGACGAGGGAATTCGTCGAGAGGTCGCCAGGACATGTGTGATGATGAAACGCTGTGTGGGTGGCTGTAGTTGGCGTCGAGGCCGAGACTGCCGCTGCTGGTGTCGATACGGTAAGGGTCAGGGTCAGGGTCGAAGGCGTGGTTGTTGTTGTGGGCAGCACCAGGGTGCAGATGGCCGGAACGTGCAGTACCAATATTCGGAACAAAATCGTCGTAATTCATGGTCTTGGTTCCATATCGTTTTCTACCCCGACCTGTTTCTCATGTTGTAGCACAGAGTACTGATTTGAGCCCAAGGTCGGTTCCTCGCCTTCGTCTGCAGTGGTGAGAAGTAGGTGACGCGGTCAGACACAAAGGAGTGATGATGGTGATGGCGCGATACAAGAAGAAAAGAGAAAAGGTGACTCGCTGCTCAGAGGGATAGTGACGGGACGGGAGGCGACACAAGAGCTAGAGCTGTAGGCACACACACTCGCACGCGCACACGAGTAACACATGCACAGGCCCAAGTACGGACACCAGGACGTAAGTGCAGCAGATTGATTGGACCGTCCGCGGGATGAGGAGGCTGCAGGGAAGTAGTGATCAATCAACCGCCCTGGAGGGCGAAAAAAGAACAGATGATACAAAAAATCAAAGTCTGTAATCTCTGCCCGTCTGTTGCGGAAGAGTGAGCCTCTCCACCTGCATGGTGCCTCTCCGTTTATTTGCGCGAGAGTGTAATGAATGAGAGTAGTGGGATTACTGGACTTTCTAAAGGTGATCTCGTCATCATTCCATTTCTCACTTGGGCACCAGTGCGTTAGTTGCTCGGGCCGGTCCATGCTACAAGACCCCTCCTTGATCATCCCAGCCTTGGTCGGATCTCAGTAATAAGGAGGGCGGGGTGCGTGGATAGTAGATAGGGTCTGGGTTGATAGTCGCACAGGCCAGGCTCGATCATGTACGATTGTTGAACCATTTTCACCTCACAGATTCTATTCTTGTCCGCACCCATTGGACGTATGCCAATTCCCTCCCTCTGCCTGTCGAAAGAAGCTTCCTGAATATCTCATACATGCCCGGTCCTGTTGCTGCCGACCTGGGCTTTTTGTCTGCACCTCGCCAGATCGCCCCGTCCTCGACCTAATTAGTTCATCCAAGTTGTCGTTGCCAGCCCCGTCTACCACCACCACCACTCGCAGTCACCCCAGAATTTGCATGTCCCTATCATTCATCTGGAGCAGCTAGCACCGAGATCACGCCGTCCCTGTTGACCGTCACCAGCTTCTTGGCCTCCTCGCCCCAGGCGACCGCCACGGCAGGTGTCGCGCTCTGGAGGGCCTCGCTCCATTTCTTGCTGCTCTTGGCGTATTGCTGCACGGTGACGCCCGATGGTCCTGCGGTGGCGAGGAACTGTCCCGTGTAGTCCCATGCCAGGCTCTGTACCGCGCTTCCGATGTCCAACACCTTCGCCGTGGCCGCATCTCCTTCCTTGCGCAGGTCAAATACCGTCACGGTCGTCTGTCCCTTGGCTGTTGCCGCTATCCAGTAGCCGTTCTCAGAGAAGACGAGAGCCTCGACGGGGGCCCCTAGCGAGAATGTCGCTGCCTCTTCGCCTGTCTTGGTGAGATACATCTTGATGGCACCCGCGTTCGTGCCCGCTGCGAAGAGGTGGCCGTCAGGGTGGAATGCGCACGCTGTCAGGGGCGTGTTTGTATACACCCGTGTGACCCTCTTGAGCGCATCCATGTCGTAGAAAACAAAGCTTTTGTCCGTCCCGACTGAAGCTAGGATCGTACCTCCGGGATGCAGCGACAGGGCTGTAGCCGCGCCCGCATGCTCTGCAAAGGACGCAACCTCACTGCCCCCCTCCAAGACCTTGACGGACCCCTTTGACGTGGCAAAGATGACCTTGGATCCGTGCCACAGCGTGTCTGTGATGGGCTCATTGACCTGCAGGGACCGCTCCACCTGACCTGCAGCTATGGAGAAGACAGCCGCGTCTCCCTTGAGACCACCGACGGCTGCGTATCCGGCTTCGGTCCCGATCGAGGAGGCCTGTGGGACAGGCAGAGACTCAGATAACTGTGGCGCAAAGGAGGCGATCTCGTTAGCCTTCGCCCAACCGCCCGGTACCGGGCGCTTCTTCCGGCTTTTAGAGAGCCTATTCAATGGAGCATCGGTCAGTAGGCGCGGCAAGCATGTAGTTGGTTTTTTTCTTTCCTTTTTTGGGGGGGAGGGTGGACGTACTTGGCCTGCGTGTCATCGACATGCTGGGCTAAATCTTCTGGCAGGGCCTCGTTGTCTACGGCCATGGCCTCTCCGTTTGCGCTGGCACCAGCGCCGCCAGTGACGGTGACGTTGGAGAGGGCAGCTCTCGCCTCGTCGCGCTCCTTGGTCAGACGCGCGATGACCCTGACGGCGGCATCATGTTGGTAGAGGGCGTTGGCCAGCTCATCGCGGGTCTGGGACAGCTGTTGCTTGAGTTTGAAGGTCTCGAGGGCCAACGCATCCCATTCGTTTTGGAAGGTAGAGAGCAGGGCAGGGATGGAGGTGAGGGTGGGTGGGCGCGGTCGCACGACGCGGGCAGACTTGATAGGCAGGAGGTCGTCCAGGTCGAGCTCGTCGGAGGTGATGGGGTCCTTGCCGTTCTCCTCGATGTACTTTTCGATCAAACGCTTCTCGAAAACGGTACCTGTCTTCTTAGAGACGACTGGCTCCTCGGGAGCCTCGCCTGAGACTGTTGTTGGTGTTCAGCCTTTGGTCAGTGGGTTTCTCATGCTGACTGGTCTGGGTCTGGACCTAGCTCTGGGTCGAGCTCTGGCATTTGCAGATGATGATGCACTCACTGGCACAAAGCATTCTGGACTCGTGTCTTTGGATGAGGTTTTGGGTTGGGCAATCCACAAAGAGGTGCGTCGGTCTGTTGCTGTCTGATTTGCAGAAGATCTGGGCTCGTACCTCTGCTCAGCTTCGTTTGCAGTCGCGGTTTGGAGGTTGGAAATTTGGCGGCAGGCTTGCAGACTTGACTAGCCCCTGTCCCTGTTGTGCTTCCGAGGTACGTACCCAGATACTGTGCCCTACAAGGGTTGGCCCTACGAGCGGATACTGTACTATCGTCGTATCTTCCTTCCACTTCCCGTATCTCAACCTCTCAACTTCACCATCGTTAGGCGCATAGATCTGTCCCTCTCGCAAAATGGCTCCTACCCTTCCAGATGCAACGATGCTGGCATCGCTGCCCGAATCGACCCTCACCTCGGTGCTGGACCTCCTGTTCGAGCCTAGCCATGACCTCCACACCCTCGCCTTGCCTACACTGCGTTCCATCACCTTCACTACCTATCCCGACATGATAGATACCCTGCGCGACCAATTGCTCGTCATCGCAAAGACAGTCCATCCAGACCCTTCGGCCCGCAAACCTCTTCTCTCAATCTTGGGCTCTCACCCCCGCCTGGGTGAGAAGAAGGTGGAGAGCGCGCAGAGTGCAGCAGAGCAAGCACAGCTGCAGTCTGCTGCTGAATCTGAGGCCGAGGTGCTGGCATCCCTGAATAGGGAGTACGAGGCTAGGTACCCCGGCCTGAGATATGTCACTTTTGTGAATGGTCGGTCCAGGGACATTATCATGGAAGACATGAGGCGGCGCATCGCCAGGGGTGACTTCCTAGCCGAGGAGGCGGAGGCTATCCATGTACGTGAGCTCTACAGCTGAACCCGAGAGAATCACTAATTTTTTCTTTGATAGGCCATGGCAGACATAGCCAAGGACCGTGCTGGAAAGCTGGCAAAAGAATCCGAGGAGTCTACCGTCGGGCGCTCCGCACTCCCAGAAGGCAGCTGAACGGACTGACGACCGACCGAGCATCTCCGTTCAAGATTGAGTCGCGGAAGCTTCCCGTCTTATGGACGTAGCCCCTTCTTCTGGAGGCAATTCACCTTCCGCTTCTCTCCTGCGATGACTGGGGAAGATAGGCAGCTATTTAGCTACGTAGCAGGCCCGGTGTCTGACAAAGTAGCTTCCGCCCCCGTCTTTACTGTATGAACTTGCACGCCATCCTGGCTCAAAGTTTTATTCCACGATTTACTCGAAGGCTACACTACGAATTCAATACACGTCCGCCAACTGCTCCAGCGTTGTTGTATGTACTCTTTTCGTTTCTGGTTGTCTAGGTTTATAAAAGCTTGATCTAGTGATTGGGCTACATATACAATTGGTGGCTTCTGTTATATTTGGTGATGCTTAATCCACAGATAACGTTAAGCCGGACCGCCGTTCGTTTGACAATATAAGTCAAGAAGTGGGACTGGAAGCCTTCTCGACCTGACCTTCTAGCAACAATAACCCCCAGTAATTCCTTGCATAAGCATGCCAAAGGCATCCTATGGAACGCAAGGTGTCACTGGGCATCATGCACATAAGGTGCATTGAAGTCTTTCGATTTTAACTCGAGAGTACGTAAGAAGGAAGCACTGAGAGCCCCCGGACCAAGGGATTTCTTCAGGGTGAACTAAGCTTAACACACAGCCGGTCTCCCCGAAGCCGAAGAAAGCCAGCGGCAATCGGTTCTGACCGACGAACGTGGTCGATGCTCTCCACCATGTGCTGTTGCATGTATGACGCCCTTGCTCGATTGACTGCTAGAGAGCTGTGGACTATGCTGCTTAAGTTCATATCGAAACAACATCCCCGATATCAACACAGTGAAGGAGAAACTACATTCGTGGTTTATCCAACAAAGAGGCCGATCTAATACCAACAGAGACTCAAGAAAGAAGCCTTCTCTAGGACCATCCCACAAATTACTGATACAACAACATGCAAGACGACGAAATGCTGTTTGGATAGGTAAACTTAATAGGAAGTTGTCATGGCGTACTAACTATGAAATCACAATGGGGCTGGTAAGTAATTGCCATGATGACGGAACGCTGCTAGGCATAATTTTGGTGTCCGAGGACGGATTATCTCAGACGACGTAAGATTTGAGTCAATGAATGAGACGATATCAGGGTTGTGATTTGAATTAGTCCGGAGAGAATGGTGCTTTTGTGAACAAACTCCGCAAAGCTTCCGGTAACACGACCAGTCCTCAGGAAGCGCCCACAAGAACAAGGATTTATCTTGTAATTTTAATTTTAACCCAAAAAAACCTCTCTCTATTTCAAAATTTTTGATGACTGTCAACAGGTGAGCCTGACGTCTTGCCCCTCGCCACGGATCTCTAAAAGGAAGGTTATACTCGAGAAAATTTGCCTTCCAGGCTGCTTATGGCATAGAGTTGCAAATACCACATCTAGACGCGCCCATGCGGCGTAAGTGGGCCTTCGGCTGTCACTGCCGACTACATTCGCATCCGCGGACCACGAGAAGCCAGGGCTGACAAGCTGACATGTGCCTGAACCCCAGCTCTCGCATACCACAAGCCAGTCATATCGCCTCTCCTGTTCCCCGGGTCTTCCTGAGAATCCCCACCTGGAGGCAAACTCATGCACCGAGGCCACGCCGTCACCACACGATGTTTGCGTTTGTGCATATGCATCCAGGTTCTTGCTTCGTTCGGCGGATGCGGTCACGCTCCCTGCCCTTCGTTCTGGTATCTTCTATGCTCTCCCCCTCTTCTTCGTTTGGCACACTGGCATCATCTTTGTGGCTTTTCTCTCTGGAGTGCCTTGACGGTCAGGCAAACAAACACCAACCAACTTGGACTTACTTCAACGTAGTCTTACCAAAGTCTTTCTTTAAGGGAATTGGGTTGAAAGACTCGTGATCATCGCTCCCTCAAATCTGTTACACCCCCCCCCCCCCCACCCCAAGTTTGACAGCCTGGAAAATCGCTTGGGCAACAAGGTGCTTACCACTGCACTGACAAGTGGGCGTTCTTTCGAAGATGTGTGGTTGCCATCACGAATTGTGATAGGGGAGCGGTGGCCTCCTCGAGTAATTGCTGGCGCAGTTCACCCGAGCCGTGGAATATGGCCGTTCCTATAACTGATTTACGCGGTAGTGGTGCCTCATGGAGAATGGCCCCTCATAAGAGAACAACAGTATTGCCTTCGTCACCGACCAAAGGACACGCCGAAAGAACACAACACACAGCGACGAGGAAGAGAAGCCGGCCAATGCATGACGTTGATGGGCCTTTCACCGGGCTACTCAGCTGCAAGAAGCGTCGACTGCGGCGTGATTTGATCACCTCTCGTCTCTCTCTCCCATTCTCTCTCCCCGCCACACATATACTCAATCGGCAGACAACGGTGGGTGGCGAGTTATTTCTGAGACGAGCTGCCGCGGCGGCGTCGAGCTCTCGAGGGCCGGGCTTCCCTGGTATAGCCTTGGAAGCTGGAGGACAACCTGGTAGCATCCCCACGAGGAAAGTCCGTGGACACGGATCAGCGGAGATGGTGCATCGAGCAGCGATGTTGAACCGAATCAGGCTGAGGGTCTATCACGAGGTAGGAGGAGAACGAGGCGAGACAATCATCCATGCGAGAGAACATAATACACCGCCAGAACAGGGCGTACCATCTAGGAGTGTCAGCGTTGGCCTCCCAGCGACACGGCCCAAAATGTCTACACAGTGGCCTTCCGAGACCAGACCCTCTTTCACGACCAAGCCACCAGATACAGCTGTGGCTGCTCGCAGTCCTGGCCCGCAGCCTGCCCAGCAGAAGTCTCTCCGCTCCCCCGAGTTACGCGCGCGTCGAGGTCATGTCGCCAGACCGATAGAGGAGGACCAAGGAGATGAGGATTCGTTAAGCTTCCCGAGCAGCAACTACATCGAGGACCTGGCCGACGTGGAAGATGTCTATGCTGACTTTGGTGTCATCTTCGGTGGGGCAGCAGAGAGGGACGAAGATGTTAGCGGGAATGGGCCTGTGACGGGCACCTTGCATGCTGCCGAGCACCTCGAGGAGTACATGGACGATCTGGATGGCATTCCACCTGCAGCGAGGTGATGGCCCAGACTTTATGACCAGCCACTGCTGGGTCAGCACAGCCAGGCCAGGCGGTGGCCTCCAGCGACACCCAGCGCCCAAGACCTAACGTTTCCTAAGCCAACCCCAAGGATCGCCCCCAATTACACCCGACGGCCTTCCTCAACATTGCCCAAATCGTGCTTGGAGCACAAGCCAAAGGTCGACCAAGCTGAGTGGACAGTGAACACGGATTTGAAATAGTAGAGTAAGTGGTACTGCGATGCCTGGCGGCTTCGTGCTAATGTTGCATGCCTGGGCGATACGGCGCAACCCGTACGTGCAAAGTGCTCCCATCGATATGCACCTGGGAAAAGAAGCATCTATCAATTCGAAATATCGGGTGGTCCTATACATCGGCAAAGCTTCAATCTGACTATTTGAACAACAAAAAAGAAATAAATAAAAAGAGGAGAAGAGATTTGGGGCCGCCGGGGGGGGGGGAGGGGGAGGAGGCTCGCCATCGTTTCATATGGATAAAAGAACGGAATCTACTTAAACAAGTGCGGCTTGGGTGCGGCCTACCATCAAGAGCTAAGTTTTCGAATCAAATAATCAAGACTATCTTGATCGCGACTGCCGACTTGGGGCCTTTCCCCCATCTAGTCCATAATCACCCATCGATCGTGCCTTCCACGCGCAACCAGACGGTCACCGCGCGCATCAGCATGATCAGATTGACACGAGGCCAAGCTTGAATTGCTATGAAACACCTTGTCTCCTTTTTTTCTTTGCAATTACACTTGCATAGAAACAAAGACGACCTAGTCAACATAGGCAAGCAAGCTACCGAGATCCACGAGGACATGTCCGCCCCCAATGGTTCCTGCGGCAGACACGAGAAGCAACTGCACTATTCCTGGACACAAGAGAGCCCATTACTAGGAACGAGCGACGGCAGCGTCCGGGTGATAAGAGGTCAACGTTGTCCAAAGCGCCAACGGCCAGGCCGAGATCATCGCCAGTCTCCAGAGAGCAAACGAGGTGCTCACCCTAACAACTCCAAAGTCACACGAGGAGTCTCAACCTCATCGAGACCGAAATGGTCGAGATGCGACCCGCACTGGCAAACGGCTGTTGTGGATCACACTTCGATGGGCCTCATGGTCCGACCTCTGCCATGCAGCCTGCAGAGACAGACATATCCGGCTTTGGTGAAATTCCCCTAGGGCGCGCTTACAGAGGTCTCTTTTTTGAAGACCCTAACGGATGGCATAGCCCGGCCGACCTATCTAACATCGCACGTACACTGGCAACTGCACCCCAGAACGCCCATGGCACCAACTTGGTCCAAGCAGCTTCAACTCGAAGCCGAAGCTCAAGCCGAAGCAACACAGCCAGCGGCGCCGGTGGCGTCCGCACCGGTAAAAACCCTTGCCATCACGCATCACGGTAGAATAAATCGACTGGCCAACATGGACCACGGGTAGAGAGGAGCAAGTGAAGCACAACAGGGATTCTTACGACAGCCATGGCAGCTAGACCCCTGGAGCTCCTACATGCGCCGTGACCCTCAACGGGATCAGCGGCCAGCAGGGGAATAATTTTCAGCAGCCCGGGCTGTGATGGTAGCCGCTCCCGCAGAGACGTCAGCTGCCGGCCCAAGCTTCGGCTTGGAGGCCTAATCTTCACGGCAGGAGCCCTCCCTGATCAGCTAGCTCTACAACAGAGCTCGAAAGATAGTGTTTGGGGGCAGAATTCAACGTAGATGACCGATGTGCAGCAGGCCAGCGACTGGTTGAGCACGTCGGTCTGATGTTACGCGTGGGAAGCATTCAGGCAGAGGCATGAGCCAAGTAAAGAGCATGTGAATAGCTGCAGGGGAAGGCGGGAAGGGAGGATCATGATCAATGATGGCAATTTTTCTCCAGTCAGTACAGAAACAAGAGAGAGCTAGTTAGTTCTCCCCTTTCAGATGGAAGACTTGTCCGATCGTGAAAAATTCTGAAATCGTAACGGAAGTGACTTATTCTATTTGTGTGTGCAGCTTTGGCTCGTGACGATGGCTGTTGCCCGCGCTCCTTCCTTCAACTGCAAAGAAGATGGCAGGAAATGCCCTCCCTCTCCCCCCCCCCCCCCCCGAAAAAGACACTTTGAGTTCTTGAATTGCACAAAAAGCAAAGGTCGGTACCTGAACATGTGATACCAAAAGTGACGAATCCTCCAACCGTACCACATAGGAGGTGTGGTGTTGGGCTACCGCATCCAGCGATAGCGATGGTTATCACGTGTTTGGGGGGGGGGGGGTTGGCCCGTGCGCTGCCGAAAAAAACTGGAGCTCCTTAGGAGCTGTGACGGCGACGGCAAATCATCTCTCAGGCAAATCAGGCCATCGCCAAATCCCTCGACGGCAACTACAACCTCACCTTTACCTGACCACACCCGGACCACCACACGCTCAGACCCGACTCGAGGGACCTCTCCACTCAAACCCCCCCCAAAAGACCAATTTCGACTTCGATCTGTGCGATCAATTGGCCGACTGCCACCACAATCATGCTCCTGCAACGTTCCGCCGTCGCCGTCGCCCGACGAGCTGCCGTCGCCCCCGTCCTGCGGCGCTCCTTCGCGACCAGCATGATCCGCCGTGAGTTTGAGGGTTGCATGTAGCCTCCGTTCGAAGCTTGGGCAATTGGCTATTTGGGCATGGCACCTGCACCGTGGCCTCTCGATTGTCACAGTGCAGTGCTGTTTGCCCCAAGGCTATGTCGCCTACAGCTACGACAACTTCACCCTCGGGGTCATCACCACTGACATCGTTTTTGCAGGAGATGCGACCCCCGCCAAGTCCCAGGAGCAGTCCGTCCAGAAGCTGTCCGGTATGCCGTCCCGAGCCCATCCCGCCATGTCCCATCCCTAGCCGGAGACGTTCAATTGGGTCTGCCGTAAAACCCGAGGACTTCGAAGGAGGAAGACGAGTCACACATCGATTCAAAACACGGAAGGCTGACAGGCATGGCAGACGTCAAGACCATTAATGACCTTGTTGGCCCCGGTGCCAAACCTGGTAGCGTTCCCACCGATCTCGAGCAGTCCACCGGTATGGAGCGTCTTGAAATTCTCGGAAAGATGGAGGGTGTCGACGTCTTCGACATGCGGCCCCTCGATGCCTCGCGGAAAGGCACCATGAAGGAGCCCATCCTGGTCCGCTCGGCCGGCGAGGAGCAGTACGCCGGTTGCACTGGCCACCCTGTTGATTCTCACGGCGTCATCTGGCTGACCGTATGTCTTCTCATCATCCACCAAGTTGGCGACACACAAGAGTTTGTCATATGCTGATGTGAAGTTAGATCTCCCGCGACCGACCCGTCGAGCGATGCCCTGAGTGCGGCAATGTCTACAAGATGGAGTATGTCGGCCCTCAAGGCCACGACGACCACGGGCACGGACACGACCACCATGGCTACGAGGAGCCTAAGAACTTCAGCAACTTCGTCAAGCCGGAGTACTGGTAAACTATTGGCAGGGCAAGGGGCCTCGTGGTTTGTATAACAACACTTTCACGACGAGACTCGAATAGATGATGGATAGCAAGTGAAACTTTCAGGGGGCTCAAAGGACCAGCGGGGGCGGCCGTTGTAGACTATTTAGGTTGGGGCAAGTGCATAGAAGTCTTGTTTCTTCTTCGATCTCAGGATGGCCCACAATGCTCATCGTGATGTTTGTCGAGTGTGGTGTTGTCGACTCTGGTGTACCTCGGCACCGTACCGAGAATCTAGGAGAGCTGGATCTTCAGAAGTGTGGATTAAAAACCCTCGCGTGATCCATTTGGAGACTATCTACCTCACTGACGAACCCTCCTGACTGCTGAAGCCGGTACGGGTGCCCACAGTCATCTCTCTTCTGACCAGCCGGGGCAAGGATGAGGTGAGAACACTCTCGGCATGGGATGGCATGTTCAATCCAGTGTACCGATGTGTATCCGATACATTACAGATGCATGTTCTAATACAGCATACGTATTTGGGTTTGTTGCCTTCGCTACAGGTGTGTAGCTTACTGCTCATCTAAACTCTGTATAACTTGCAATGGTTGAAAAATGACGGGACCTCCTCGAGCTGACATACATACTATGGTGGTAGATGAAAAGCCCCTTGTTTAACGCTGGCAGTGTGTCTGCTTGTTCGTTCCAAGAATGGCAATCCATCGATTTTGGGATTGACAGTGATGGACGCCCTAGTGCCTATCGCCTTTTTGCCCTAGCTCCGAAGTCGACGACGCGAGATGCTCAAAATCCGCATAGCGCCTACCTCTTCTCGCCAAGGTGTAGCGTTTAAATCCGGCAACCCCCCCCCCTCTCCCCCCACATAACCATCAAGCCCCGGCCTATCTAAATAAACGGTGACGTGACGGCACCGGACAGGACATGACATAACCAGACTCCCCACACCGAGAGAATCCCAATCTGTACACCATCGAGAAAAAAGAAAAGAGAGGAAGAAAAACACCGAGAATCGCCAAGAATCGCCAAGATGCCTCTCGTCGCTGCATCTCCAACTCACCGAGTGATCCTAGGGCTCATGACCTTTGGCCCTGATGAATCCACAGGTCTGCTTCCAATCTGAGTGACTTCCCCGGGAATCAGCTAGGGTCCCTGCCACGAGAAAGAGGAGAGCATCACTGACTCGTCACGCACTCAGGTGCCCGCATCACGTCTCCGGAGGAATATGGCAAGGTCCTCGACCTCTTCCAGCAGAGGGGCTATAATGAGGTCGACACTGCTCGCGCCTACATCGACGGCAAGCAGGAAGCCTTTACCCGCGAGGCCGGCTGGAAGGAGAGAGGCCTGACTTTGGCCACCAAGGTCCAGTATCCATCACAGCCCGGCGAGAATGCCGCTGATAAGGTGGTTGAGAGCGTTGAGACGAGCTTGAAGGAGCTAGGCACAGACTGTGTCGACCTCCTGTACCTTCACGCCGCCGTACGTTCCTCCAATCCCTCCCTGAGTCCTCTCGTCCATCATATGTGAGAGAACCAAAGGGGAAAAGAGAACGGTCCTGACTGACTGCCGCTATTATTCTCGCAGGATCGAGGCACCCCTTTCGCCGAGACCCTGGAGGCGCTCGACAAGCTCCACAAGGCCGGCAAGTTCGTTCGCCTCGGAATCAGCAACTTCACCTCCTTCGAGGTGGCCGAGATCTGCATGACGTGCAAGTACAACGGCTGGGTGAAGCCATCAGTTTACCAAGGCATGTATAACGTGCTGACCCGGGGCATCGAGACTGAGCTTATCCCCGTTTGTCGGCGCCACGGCATCTCGATCGTGGTGTACAACCCAATCGCGGGAGGACTGTTCTCTGGCAAGATAAAGAGCAAGGACATGGTTCCTGCCGAAGGACGGTTCTCGGACACTGCACAGAGCGGCAAGAGGTATCGCGGGAGGTGAGTGGCAGGCTGCCTGCGCAAAGCGACAAACATCCTCTTCATCCTCATCCTCATCCTAGAGACTTTCCCGCTCGACAGATTGTTTGGCTGACCCGGGTCCCTTTTTGCAGGTACTATCGTGACAGCACGTTCAACGCGCTTAGGGTGATTGAGCAGGCGGTCGAGAAACACGGCCTGACCATTATCGAGACAGCGCTGAGATGGATAGTGCACCATTCCGGGCTCCAGATCAAGAACGGCAACGATGGTATCATCATTGGCGTGAGCTCGAGGGAACAACTGGGCAACAACCTCGACAATATCGAGAAAGGCCCGCTGCCGGACGATGTCATCAAGAGCCTGGACGAGGCGTGGCAAATCTCCAAGATCGATGCCGTCCCCTACTGGCACGGGAACGTCGAATACCAATACGATACGAAGCAGGTTCTGTACGCTCCTGGGGCCAAGTAGAGGTGCGTCTTAGAAGAAGTGAATAGATCCGGCCCAGATACATGAAGTAGCTCGAGCATGCCCCACCATAGAAACAATCCGAAAATACATACATACACACTCTGTGCCTCTCTTCTTAGGCTGAAAGTAATTTGAGGTTACACAACAGCTACAAAAGACAAGTGACGAGCACTGACAGATCTGACTGGTCTATGAAAGAAAGAAGGAGGATGGCAGGAAGGCAGCAGAAAGCTCGCAGCAGGTGCTCTGGCGTGCTGTTACAGATGGCCTGTTCCTCTAGATCCCGTGGTCTCGTGAGCTCTGCATGATAATCGATAAGACCCGATGGACACGCTGCTGTGGTGTTGTGCGGGGTTCAAGTCGTCTTAAAAGGAACATCTCACTCAGATTAATAATAATATTGGAGTCCCTGCCGTGTTGGTCCGAAAAAGCGGCAAAAGATCTCCCCCATCTGCCACTGTGCTTATGATAGAAACGATATCATGTTTGATATGATGATTCCAACTCCCAGCTGCCTCAACTGTCCTGTCTGAATTGATCCGCTACATTGATCCACTACATCAGAAAAGCCTTTGCTCTTCTTCGGCCCTGAGCCAGCATTGAACCGTCCATAGGTATTCGTACGTGTATGCATGAGGATTCCGGGCAAGATTTACATGCATACATCTAATAATTAGGTTCAGGAGTATCCTGCTGTTTACTGCAGTATATCGAGATATGCACGTCTGGTGGAGTGGTGACCACAGCAGAAACTTTTGTAATACGTCTCTTTACTGTGGTCGAATGGTAGCGAAATATTAACATGCCCATCCAGTGTGAGGAACACTTTGGTAGATCAGAGGCGCCTCTAGAATGCATGGTGAATTATTCTTGTTAAGCAGACGTAATTGCTATAGTCTAATCGAGATGAAGCACGTTTTTGAACTTGATAAATTCATTTCAACATTCTTATAGCATAGTTTAATTTGCCCAAATTTGCTGTCATCTCTCGCAACTCAAGGAGAAGAAACGAGCAGTGTTGATAGAATTCTGTCAAATGTGGGGCAGTGAACTCATCGGGGTGAAGGATGGGTGAAAAGCCAGGTCATCGATTTCTTGCACTAATCCTTCTAACTATCCTGGGGCCAGAGGTACTGGTGCACCCGTTTCTATAGGAAAAGTACAACAAAGGGCCGGCTAGCCTGAAACCTAGTGAAAGGGCCCTGGTGTCAGGGGCCTGAAGGGCCCTTTCACCCACATGAGACCAATGCCTTTATTCCGACACTCCCTCCCAGCCAGCATCATCGTGATGCTGGCTGCTGTTCTCTTCAAGGTCCTCCATCCCAGCCATTTTGAGGAGCCTCTGGTATTGGCCGGGCTCCAGCGGCTTGGTGAGGGCATCCGCGATGTTCTCCTCAGAGGGCACATAGTGGAACTTCACGTTCCCTTGTGCCACCTCTTCACGAACGTAGTGGTAGCGTGCCCTGATGTGCTTGGTCCTATTTGTAGTTTCCGACTTCTCGATGATCTTGAGGGTGGCCTGGTTATCCGTATAGATTGGGATCGCTTGGTCCACCAGGTCGCCTTGATCTATTTCGATGAGGAACTCTCGGAGCCACGCTGCTTCCCGTGTAGCAGCGTTCGCGGCGTAGTATTCAGATTCGGCCGTTGATTGAGGGATCGAGGTCGTCAGCTTGGAGGCCCACGAGATAGGTCCTCCCGCCAGGGTGAAGACGAACGCGATCGTGGACTTGCTGGCATCTCGATCGTCGTTGTGTGAGGCGTCGCAATAGCCTTCAAGGGTCAAGCAGCCGGCCTTGTACCGGATGCCACGGTTCTTGGTTCCTTGGTAGTAGTGCAGAATCCTCTTCACAGCCTTCTCGTGGGCCTGCGAGGGGTTTGATATAAACCTGGCCCATACACTCGCTGCAAAAGCAGTGTCAATCCTCGTGATGCACGACGGGTAGATAACCGACCCGACGATCTGTTGGTAGCGCCTACGGTCCTCAGTCGAGGCCTCCTTGGTGTTGCGTACGGCCTCAGCCATAGCGCCCATGGCCACAGGGGTGATCGCTGGCTTGCATTCGCCCTGGCCTCGTTCAGCAAGCATTCTGGCGATATACGCGTTCTGGCAGATGGTCACATCGCCGTTGGGCTGTTGGTTGATCTTCACGCCTACAAACCATTCAGCTAGGCCTAGATCAGTGACTTCGAGCCTCTCGGACAGCCTCTCGATAAGCTGTTCGCCCAGTGCTTGCTGGTCTGGCCGTAGAGCGATCAGGAAGTCGTCAACAAACGAAGCCACGATCATCTTCGTATTCTTGTTGAAATAGATAGCTGAATCGCTCACCAGCGGCTTGAAGCCTTCAGTCTTCAGTTCCTTCTTTGCCTTGGTCTGCCAGTCGTATCCTGCCTGCTTGAGGCCATATAGAGGCGCCATCAGCTCAATCACTTTAGCCCTTGTATATCCCATTTGTTTCGCTGTTTTAGGGTGTTCGGACATATAGTCAGCGAGGAGGTCGAACTGTTCGAGGAAAATGCGGTACTCGAGGTCGCCGTGCAGGTACGCTGCCACGAAGTCGATCTGAAGAATCTTCCATCCTCTTGCTGCTGCCAGTGCCATAAGAATCCGCCACGAACTTGAGCGCGCTGTCGACGCGAAGGTCTCGTTGTAGTCGATGCCTTTGATCTGGGTATATCCCTTCGCCACGACCCTCACCTTGAGCTTTGCAATGTTTCCTTCCAGGTCGCGTTTGCGGTGTGGGATAACCTTCGCCTTGACCAGGCGGCCAGCGCGCGCTTCCTCGCGTTCTCTGAACTTGATGGTGCCTGTCCTGATGAGGTTCTCGATCTCCTCATAGGCGGCCTTCCTCCAGGCTATTCCCTCCTGAGGGTGGCTCACGGCTTCTTTGATGCTTTCTGGGTCTGGCTCGAACTTCATCGCGAAATCGAACGATTCATCGAACGTCTGGTTAGTTGGATCGAAGGCGAGGGTGTTGAATGCTTGTGGGTGGCTAAACGCGAAATTTTCAGTACACTCTCCCTCCGCGAGCGACTCCCACGCCTCATCGATCACCTCGTTCTCACACCAGGCCAGGGCGCCATCGTTTTGAACTGTTATCACGGCATCCTCGTTTTCATCAGGGATATCATCGAGGTCTGGGATCCTCCGCCGTCGCTCTTTTACTCCCTCCTTCTTGGGGCGGCGATGCGCTAGCTGTCTTCTCGCGTGAGGGGGCAAGGAGCGAAGAACCTCGAGGTCTTCTTCGTCAGGGTCGCGTTGCCATGCAGCAACATCGCCAAAGTCCTCGTAAAAGGTTACATGAGGGGTTCGGAGGACTCGTCGTTCGACAAACGAGTAAACGTGGAAGTTGTGGAAGCCTGGGGGCTGTTTCTGGGCGTCAGCCATCGCGAGGAAGATGCCTGGCGTGCCTTTGGCTGACAGCTTTGCTGAGCGCACTCTTCTCTGCTCAGGTACGTGAATTGTCACCTTGCACCCTGGTACATGGAAGGCTGAAAGGTCTGGCTTGTTGTTCCTCTCCTTGTTGATGCCGTCCCAAAAGGCCTGGTACGGTGTTTTGCCTTCGAGGGTCTTGGTGCTTGTCACGTTTAGGACCAGGACTGACTGTTCCATCAAATAGCACCAAAATACCCGTGGGACCTGGGTAAGAATGGCGAATTTTGTCGCAACGCTTATCAAGGAGAGGATTCCCCGTTCTGCGACGGGGTTCTGGTATGAATTGTATGGGGCTGTGTCCTTGTACTGGATACCTTCTTCTTCACAGAACTTCCTCAAAGCGGCTGGGACAAATTCCTTCCCTCCATCAAGCTTGATCCACTTCATCGTCCTCTGTGTCTGTGTGCTGAGGATTCTGATGGTTGCCTTGATGCTGTCCAGAACCTCATTCTTCTTGGTTCCGAACCCAACAATCTTGTATCGCGTGGCATCATCAATCATCAGATATGCATACCGATATCCTCGGATCGAGATAGGGGTCACTGTGACGACGTCGATGTGGATGCCTGCAGCAGCCTCTTCTTCTCGGGCCATAGGATCGTGGGACTGGTATCGTGGGGCTGTTGCCTCGTTGCATACGTTGCACGGCAGATACTCGACCTTCTCGGGGTTGATCTGCACTCCAGTGCTCGCCTCGATAGTCTTCGCGAGCCGTTCTGGGCTTGGATGCCCTAGGCGGCGGTGCCAGAGCTTGAGATGCTTCTTTTCCTCGTCGCTCAGCGTGGCCATCGTAGCCTGGATCTGTTTTTGGTGCGGGCATCGCTCTTGTGGCGGGTTCCCAATTACGTTCATGAAGAACCCCCATCTTGGTACGTCGAGCATCGTGATCCACCCGCCTTTTCCATCGAAGAGGACGTCCTTGCCGTCAGTTCTCGAGCTGTACCCTCCGCTGAGGTACAGTCGTTCTCCGCTGAAGATGTTGATAGGGAAGCCATCGATCAGCACACAGTACATCAGTTCAACGACTCGTTCATCGATCTTCGAGTGGCCTGTCTTCAGGGGCAGCCGAGCCACGCCTACAGCTGTTGGGTATACTGGTCCGCCGCCCGTCATAATAGCTTCCTTCCTGTCGATCTTGGTCCATCGGCCTGGAAGGTACCAGAGCTCAGTGTTGACGATGTGGATATCAGAGCCTGTATCGTACAGCCAGCGGTTCCTCAGGGCAGGCGTCAGGCTGTTGCTGCTGTATGTTTGGGCTACCATTGCCATCTCAGGGCCAGGCATACCATCTCCTTCAGCGGGTCTATCGATAGCCTCGAGATGGCGGTCCAGAGTCTCGCAGATGCGCTGCCAGGAGCCCTCAGGAGTCGATGCGCTTACAGCACAGCTTGTTGGGCCTCCAATAGGGTGGTTGAACGGGTGAGGAGGTGCAGCCTGGTTGCTGGTTTGGGCGCTCTGTTCAGACGATGCCTGGAACGCTCCTCCTTCCTTGTTTTGGTCGCTTTTCCTTCTCTTCTCTCCCTTACCATCGCTGTTATCTGGGTTGTAAGCGCCTCCGCCCTTTTTCCGGCACTCCCTCTTGATGTGGCCCTTTTTGCCACAGTTATGGCATTCTACATCCTTCTTCCAGCTGTCTCGTGTCTTCGAGCCTGAGGTAGAGTTCATCGCCTTCTTCCCCTCCTTGCTTCCGCCCTTTCCAGCCTCTTGTACCACGAACTCGTCGGTGAGGTCGCTAATTAGATCTGATAGGGGGGTAGAGGGGGTCGTCCTGAGGGTCGTTCTGGCGCGTGCTGCCCACTCAGGGCGGGCTTGGGAGACGCCTTGTACAAACATCAAGCATGCAAGGGTGCCTGCAAACGGCACATTCGCTCCGTGGATATCGGCAACGAGGCTCCTGAACTTTGAGCAATACTCAATAGGGTCGTTTTTGAGCTTCAGGTTCATCAGCTCGCAGAACCAGGACATCTGGCTAGCAGGGCCTGTAGTGCCGTACGTGTCCAGCAAGGCCTGCCAAAGCTCCATGCCAGAGGTGATGTTGGCGAATCGCTTCAGGATATCCGTTGAGATTGTCTTCCTGAGCCTCACACCCAGGCGCTGATCAGCCTTAGGCGTGAGGACTGCATCCTCGGCTTGTGGGATGCCAGCCAGATCCATCATGCTGGCTACTGTGACCTTCCAGGTGCGATAGTTCGTCGCTGTCAACATCTGGGTCTTGTCCAGCTGGATCTCAGTCCAGTCGACGTCTTCATCCTTGATAGCTGGGCCTATCGTGGCCTCAGCCCTGGCCTTGGCTTTCGCTGCGGCAGATCTCGTGGTCACACCCTCGGCCTGCTCTGGGTCCATGCTGTCCGGGGACCCGGCGCCGCGCCGGCGAGGCTTGCGATAGTGTGTGAGGAAACGTGTGTGTGGCTTGAGCTAAGCCGGGCTCATAACCTGTCAAATGTGGGGCAGTGAACTCATCGGGGTGAAGGATGGGTGAAAAGCCAGGTCATCGATTTCTTGCACTAATCCTTCTAACTATCCTGGGGCCAGAGGTACTGGTGCACCCGTTTCTATAGGAAAAGTACAACAAAGGGCCGGCTAGCCTGAAACCTAGTGAAAGGGCCCTGGTGTCAGGGGCCTGAAGGGCCCTTTCACCCACATGAGACCAATGCCTTTATTCCGACAAATTCTCTTAATTTTCTGCAGAGAACGGTACGCAGTTTAATGGAAAATGTCTACTACCATTCGCAATAACTTGCCACGCCTCCTCTTCCGGACCTCCGAACCATTTGGTGTCAAAGAGTCACACGGCAAGGGACAGGCTCTTCCTTCTCCTACGTCCCGCTGGGTTTGCGGGCTCGTCGACGCATCCTCATGCTCTGTGGATGCCATGGGCATTTCCCTACCTCGCACAGTCGTCCGGGGATATGCAAGCTCCGAGGCTGGTGAGCCCGGGATGCCAGGTGGTTGAGCGTGTATCTCGGAAGTCTTCATTCTCTGGCCAATTCTCCAGGAGAAGCCTTCGTTTGGGCGCATTTCGAAGTCGGCGTCTTGTACAATGGAATACGGCGAACGCCACCCTGGAGCGACCTCGTCGAGTGTATCGGCTGTGGCATCTGGAAGCCTGTGCTGTACATAGGTTGCTAGGTCGCATTTCGCTGCCAATTGGATGAGATTGGAGAACTTTTCACCCAAGATGGTCAACATGCCCTCCGAGAAGTCCCACCTAGCGAATGTTTGTGACACGATTTTCTCGAGTTCATCCAAGCCTTCATTCACTTGTTTACATGGCTCGGATGAAGACACCTCAATCTCGTACGCGTAAAACAAGCAGGCAAGAACCCATTGTCGAAGGTTAGGTTTGATGTAAGAAAGACGGTGCTGTCCCATCAGCGCTCTGCTCTGGCCGAGATATGCGTCGAAAAGAAGGGTTCTGGGGTCAAAATCGCCGGCAAGCTGGTGCAAGTATGCCGAGGTTTGCTCCGTATGGATATAGTCGACAATGGTCCTATGCAAAAATGATACCCTCTCGCCAAACAGCACTGGCGCATGAGAATCTGGTGCGATGTGGATCATGTCCTTGCACTGAGCGATCAGCTGCCGTTTCTTTGTCAACAGGGTATCTAGAGGCGCCGAGTCCACACGCGGCCAGTCGCCGAGAAATGCCAGCTCCTGTGCCTGGGCTTCAACAGGTTGTTGGTCGAAGTTGAAGAAGAGAAATGTGAATACGGGAAACGATCTCCTCGCGTAGGATAGCGTAAGGAAGAGTCGTGCTGCTCGCTCCCGATAAATGTCCTCCACTGAGCTGAGGATCCGTTCGAAAAACTTCTCAAGATCCGAAGGGAGAGCATCTACTCTTTGTCGTAATGTCGAGAGATTGTCCTCATTTCGAAGGCCTCGTAGCAGAGAGCGAACGACCAAGTACACCCAGAGAAAGACTCCTTCGGATCTGCTGATGATCCTCCTTATCAAGTCGGACGCTGCATCTCTAGATCTGATCTGTAACCTCTTGAATCTTGCATGTCCCTCCAAGCTGTCTTGGACAAATTGACGGATGTCAGGGCTCGTCAGTTCGTGCATACACATCTTCCATTGGCTGCTGTCGAATGCATCCGCGAACTCTATCCAAGCCCGGCTGGATGTGCAGATTTTGACGTTAGGTGATCTGGATAGGCGGAATAGAAATTCTATCAGATCAGTGTGGTCACCCTCGTATTCATCCAGTCCGTCGATGAAGAGGCAGATTCTGAGAATCCTGCCTGGTTTGGCAGCTTGACCGTGCTTTTTTGGTTGGGCCAAAGCCATCATAGCCTTTGAAAGACGAGCCCAAGTCCAAGGAGTGAAACTTTCGGTATAGTCAGCAGACCAGCGGTCCTCGCAGACAGACTCGATAAGGTATGGATGCTGGTTGAGGATCTGGAGAAGCAAAGAGCGGAGCAAACCCTCCTGGGATTTTTGGATCGTGACTCCGGGACTCCAGAAATAATGCTTCGCGATAGCAAGCTTGTAGGCGAAAGGATCCGCCCACTCCTCCAAACAGTTGTTGGTGATCCTATGCTCGGTGATGAACTTCATCAAGGTTGATTTCCCAGAACCAGCCTTTCCATTGATCCAGAAGACGCCGTTCTGGGTACGCAGCCACTCCAGAAAACTCCGCCCTTGGTCCATATTGGAGCTGAAGATCCATTGAAACGTTCTTCGGTGCGCCTCGGGAATTGCGAGCTCGCGTTCATGAAGCTGGTCGAAGTTGAGGGTCTGTAATATTGATTTGCGCTTCTCTTCAGCCTTTTTAACAACGCTAGTGCTGTAGAAGTTCTCAACGTTGCGTACATAGGCACGTAATGCGGTCGATTCCGGCCCTTCGTTCACAATGGGCCGCTCGTCCTTCCAGTTCAAGACGGCCCTGCCATCGGCCCACAAGTTGTTCTTGTCCACTGCCAAGGTGTCGAGCCTCTTTTCTATATTTCTAAGGTATTGCATTGAGCTACCCATGTGTTGTCCGAAAAGCTCACGGTAGATGTCAGTGTCGTCAAAGAATTTTCGTAGATTTTGTTGTATGTCACGTTGCTGTTGTCTTGGTCCGATATTCAGCTACAGCCCATATAACAGGATCACGAGGACTCTGTGACATTATGTAATAAGCACTTACTCAATCAAAATAATAAGATGAGATGAAACTTCTGTTCGTAAACTGAGAAGACGAACTGAAAGCTGCTCAAGCTCTTCCTTCTTATACATTGCCCGCGCCGCCCTGTAGGCCCCTTCCATGAAGCGTAGCTTCCCATTGAGGTGCTTCGTATGGATACTCTTGAGGATCTGGTCGACCTTCCTGCACAATTCTAGGGACCTGTCAACAATGCTCAGAAGAGTTCTGTCACGTTCGATATCCCTCGAGATCAGAGCCTGAGTTTCCTTGATGCCATCCAAGGTCTGGGTCATATGATTGGTGATGTCTTGGAGTTCGCTGATGTGCTTTGGTGTGCCATCTGCGTTGCTGATTATTTCCTTGAACAGCCGCAGTCCAGTGATGCCGTGTGAAAGAAACTGAGCCACATTGCTCGCTAGACCGACTGCAGTGACAGCCTCCATTGTAAGATAGTAAGTACTGCCCTGTCTACTTGATGCATCTTCTGGAGGATGATGAGCATTCAGAGACGTCGTCTGAGAGACGCCTGAAGGAGCAAAGCCTTGAATATTAAGTGACAATGATAAGATATAGGACAAAATCTCATGCCAGCCTTATGGAGATCTGGTCATGTACAGGGGCGGGGTAAGGCATGAACAGAACGTTCTGCAGAACACTGCCACCGACTTGCTGACAGCTTACCTACGTGGCGTTCATTCTTACATGAAATCAACCTGGGCAGCTGTTTACGCCCCACTTGTTTACGACATCTGCACACAAATGATTTTTTCACTTCGTAAAGAAATACCATCCCATACTGATAGGATGTGAAGTCACGATCTTCAGGGTGGAATACTAGTATCAACGATAAACAATGGGGGGCTGGCGGCAAGTCTGATGAAGAACGTGTAAGTGTGGGGATCGACTCGTAGTTACAAGCACGCCAGATGCTCCTTTGGCTTTATTTCCTTTCCCTCCCTCCTCTTTAGGCAGTAGAATAACAACTGATACTGCATTTTTTTTTTCCTTCGACGGATGACAGAGCCTCTGCCTAGTGTTCGCCAGTCGTCCATCCGGAGTCCTGGTTCGAACTCTCTGTACCAGGCTTGATGTACTGATTATCATTTAATTATTTCCTTTGTAAAAATAAACTAACTTGATCGACATGATGTCCACGATAGGAAATTACAATCTTCAGCATTTAAGAATCTATCAAGTTGTGATATAACCAATGCTAGTAGAATCTCTTGTTAGCTGAAAACATGTTTTGGCGGGAAAGTCGTGCCAGCGGATTTAGCCAAATCTGAGCCCGAGATTGCATGGGACAGCACGTTCCCTCAACCTCATCCTGCCTCTTTACGCGACCAAACGTCTCAGCCCCGAGCTTGTCCCCACACCCCCTCCCCCCTCCTCCAAAGACATCCCCGGCACAACAGCCTCCAAAGACCCCAACCATGTCCCAGAAAATCACCGGCAAAAACCTGCACTACGACCAGTCCCTCCCGCCCTTCCTCGCCCGCCTCAAAGGCCAGCATACTGTCGACGCAGACTCGCCCGACCCCATCCTCGCCTCCCGCCGGAGGGCAGCCAAGCCACGGTCCGCGAGCGAGGAGGCTGAAGATGCGCCTGTCATCGTCGACGACGACGGCAATGTTGTGTCGGGGATGAGGGTGGGCGTTGACGGGACAGTTACAGGAGGCCCGGGAGACGTGGACGGGGAGAACGATACAGAAGGGCAATTGGAGAAGGACGAGAAGCAGCGGAAAGAGGAGGACGAGGAGCAAGGGCAGAAGAAGAAGGACACAGAAGCAGCTGCCATTGGAGGGTCGAAGAAGCGAAAGGCGGGCAGGGTGATTGGTGCCAATGCTGAGGATGAGGTCAATGATGATGTCTCTTCAAGAGACTTAAAGCAAGCCTCTGCCGAGGACGGCGCTGGAGCTGCGGCGAAGAAACGCGATACAAAGAACAAGGGGCCAGAAAAGGGGAAAAAGAAGGCCAAGAAGATCAAGCTGAGCTTCGGCGGCGACGTGGATGGTGATGATGGATGATGATGGGGTCTGAGGCTGCCCATGCGAGGCCTTCTGGCCTGATCAACAACATTCCTGCGACGGACGCGCCGCGCCGCGCCGTACCACAAGCACACTGCCACCATTCATGAAGCGGAGATGGGACACACAGAAGCCCCTACGTCCTCCATCTATGGAGGCGCTCAGCTCTACCGTGCGAGGGCCACGCAGCTTGATGGCATCGGTTGTGTACGTCTGGCCCATGTGGAAGTTCATCAAATCAAGAACAGGGCAAAAAATGGTACTCATCAGACTCAATTAGATCTGTGGTGTGATTGGGTGTGTTTTACGCCTATGGCTCCCTTGAGGGAGGGTATCATCTATTCATATGTATCCATATATATGCATATCTTCGCCTTTTTCTTCACACAGCCAAGATAGGTCCCAAACAACTCGCGACTAGCCCGCGGGGGCCGCCTGCCTGGTTGCACTCAACCAAGAGCCCGCCCACTATCTGCCTGAAAGCTGCTCACCTCCACTGCTTCCGCCGTCCGTTTGTACTGCTCTATGCAGTAAACACCCCCTCCCACCTCGTGTGGGTGGAGGTGATGATTTCCCTGTTCTGCCACATGCATCTCGATCCCCATGCGCCGGTTGGTAGGCATTGGGGAGAGGCTGAGCATTTCACTGCCAACGGCGTCGTTGACAGTTGCCATCGTGGATCAGGTGATGATGGCGGATGGTGTTGGTTTTGTTGGTATGTAGAGTAGTATGTGTGTAGGTGTGTGTCACAGGATGCTCACCCAAATAACCTAGGGTCGATATTCGCATCTCGTCTCGTGGAAATCGAGTCAGGCGTCGCTGGTGCATCCTCGGAACCACACGAGTCCTCCGTGCCGCTCGAATCTCCATCATAGCAGTCCTGCTGGTGGCCCGGGCATGATGTGCAACCGATGGCAGCCTGTAGAGCCCTCGAGACTATCTCTGTCCGGTCTAGTCCGGCCAGGTTCGGCCTGGCAAGCTGGTGCCCTAGGCTTTGACTTCTCTGGGGGGCCGGGGACTCGATTTTCGCGTAGAGCCCCTGCAAGCTGCTGATGGACGATCTTAGTAGGTCCTCCCACTCTCTTGTCGACCGGTCACCCTTCATCGGGGTCCTCAGGGCAGCGCGCTTCTTCTCGACCCGGGCGGAGGGCTGTGCGCCTGGAATATGTAGGATTGTGCGGCGGCCCATGTTGCCCTGACGAGCCGACCATGTCTTCATGTTGAGCGCAGGATGTGTCAGGAAGAGTTGAGCTGGTTGTTTTGTTCGCTCCAGACGGAGCTGCTCGCCGAGGATGTGTTGTCGAGCCCAGTCCTGCCCAGGTCCGGACTGGACAATCATGGGGACGTGTGAGGGTGATATGCACTCCATGGCTAGTTTGTCTTGGGGGAGGGAAAGAGATGGGATGTGCCTCGGTAATATCTGGGCTGGTGGGTGCTTTTCGTAGGATGAGGAAAAATATGAAGAGAGATTCTAGAGAAGGAGGAGAAGGAGGAGAAGAAGGGACGACTGGAGGTACAGGGAAGGAAGGCAAGAGGGTATGTATATTATCACTATTACCTACTCCTCCTCGTACTATCGCTAATGTTACTTACCCCATGAAGCTCCTGCCGCATCCCAAGATAGCCAGACACACCATGGGGTGCTCTGTCACGACCGTGCGATCACCAAACACGACACAAAGGAGTAGAGCCTATTACCGAAAGGAGCACAATTTGATGGCGGGTGGGGACCAGGGGTGTGAACGTGCGGGCGCAGAAACACGGGAGAGGGTGAGATGTGAAACATGGGCCACTCTGCTCTCTACCATGCTATGCCATAGTATTTTTGCGCCATGAACGGGGGGGCCTGCAGGAGGTGCTGGTGCCTTGTTTCGAAAAACCTGCGGCAGTCTTTACAGAATGCAGCATAGACTCTTGTCACAAAACCTGGCGCAGCGCAGAAGCGTCTTTTGCCGTTGTTGCCTTTTGCCCTGGTTGGTCTGCCTAGGGCGCAGGTCGGCCGCTCCGCAAAAATCTCACGCGAGAGCCGTCTAGCCAACGGATTCGCAGAGAGCCACGGCCAGAGGAAGCACGTCAGGGTTACTTGCAGGCAGGATTGGCTCGACCTGTTCTAATTTTGGCGCTCTGCGGCGAAGGACCCACCGACTTTGACTGGACCAGCACATGCCCACCACCGGCCCAGCGAGGTAATCATGTTCCTGAGGCCTAATTGATGATCGTCGACGTCCTGGATAGTACAGTATGAATGATGATTTAGGAGGCGAATCTCAACATGAGCGCGCGCGCGCGCGTCGGTGTTGGTTATTAATAGGACAGACATCAGCACTGCCATGACATGGTATGACCAGAGCTAAGCGCTGCTAATTTGCCAAGTTCGATCCTCTGTTTGTGGCTACGAGGGCCCATCTGTATTATGCCATTATCACAACTACCAGAATCGCATATTAATTACCATAGCATTGTGTAAAGTCAGTTGGTGGTAAATAAACCAGTAATTAGTAGGTGGTTGCCTGTAGGAGCTTTACTCCGCCCGGGAGCGCACTCTGAGAGCGGTAACCGCCGAGATGAGCTGAATCCTGCCCATCCAGACCGGCGGTAACGAGCCCAAGCATCCATCTGTGCCTATATTTGGCCACCACTCTATTGTCATCTTGAGATGAGCCTCAGAAAGAACAATGCCTCTTGACGGCCTCTCGGTTGGGCCTCGGACTTGATTGGGCACAGCCTTGCAAGGGCTGTCGGTTTGCTTGGCCGTACCTCTGGGGTCCGCAGGGCGCATACAGCACACATAGGATTGTGGCTCGAATTTGACCTAGGAAACGCAGGTCGTCACTCTACACACTTTGCTGTTGACGTGTGAGAGGAAGGGGGGTTGGGGTTGTCCTGAAGAGATGTATGTTGGCGGCGGCGAGTCTGATGATGGAGATGAGGGCACTGGTGCTTGCCAACTGTTGCCCAAGTCAGCGCAGCCCGTCATTGCCTTGACCGAAGAGGAGACAATTGGAGACTGCACTCTGCTTTAATCCTAGGCTCTACTTTGTATTCAATGTTGATTTTTTTTTTGGGGGGGGGGGGTGTATGTGTGTGTGGAAGACTCCTTCTAGAACAGACTGGCGGCCCTTGAGAATCTCGTCTCTTCAGTGTTCGTACGCCAGTCCGCTCCCATACTATGATGGCATTTTGGAAATGAGTGTGTAACAAAAAAAGGGGGCGGATGATTACCATGTTGGAAGCCATGCAACCAAGCAGCCCTGCCGTAGTAGTACAAATTGGCAGAAGCAGCAGGGGGTGAGCATTAGGGGACGCTGCGTACATACTGTAGTCTGATGGTGTGCCTCATATTTTTGAGAAGTAACGTGGAACTGCCGTACTGTACGAGTACTACGTACTGTATTCTGTATTCTGCATGCTAAGTCCACGGGGACTGCACAGGAGAGGTTCAGCAGCTGGCGGCCAATGATTACCCGCTAGAGAGCCTAGACTCTAGCATCCACCCACTATACTACCCTACCGTGGTTGCGTAGCTCCGCTGTATTGAGAATTTCACAGCAACAGGTGGCCCAGATGGGGAGAGAATCCCTGCCACGCCACTCTCCTATCTCGTCTGGCTGGTTTTGGTTGGGTTATCTTCTCCGTTGGAGTGTTGTCGACACGAAACGACACGACACGATACGACGATAACCCGATTCCTCACCCCCGGGGTTCAACCGCCGACTCCTCTTCGTGTTCAGGTGAGGTGGCTCGAATACATGCGTCCTGTTGGCGTCGTTGCCTATAGCACCAAATCATCGACAATCCGCAATCGGCCTCGAGGTCGACGTTGACATCGACTTTGACATTGTCTGTCACTAGTCGATCCGACGTGGCCTGAGTCGCAATTGCGGCTTGTCACCACCACATACGAAGCTAAGAAAGCAAGAAATTGGAGGGTGAAAAAAGTAGCACCCAAAAGAGAAAGAAGGGGGAGCTCTTCTCGACCGTTGCGACAGCACCAAAAAGCTGTCAACCCTCCAGCGCCTTGGCAAAGGGATCGGCTGTCCCTATCATTGTCAATCGTCAGCGCTTGCGCTTGCGCTTCAGAGCCTGTGCCTTGCTTCTGAAGAACCGGTCTTGGCTCGGTCCGTGGTTCGGTCAAGGCTGCACCTGCGCCAAGCTCGGCCCTCTTTAACGTCCACGCAACATCCACATCAACCACAACATCGGGACCAACTAGGGACGCTGTCTTCTTCCCTCTGCCACCCCATTCAATCGCGATCGCGACGCGCAGTTGGTCTATGGTCAGCTATTGTCGACACTTGACGGGTTCGGCCTGACCACAAGGAGAAGAGAGAAAAAAAACCACCACGGTGAAGGGCCGAGGTGTGGACTCGCTCTTGTCTCGTGTCGATCCTCCACTTCGCCGTCAGCAGCAGTACCCAACAACAGCAATACTGTCTTCTATCGAGATCATTCACACACTCCCACCCCCCCTCTTCGCGAGACGACTCGGGCCGCGCGACCAGTCATCGCCCTCGACTACAAATTCATACTGCACGGCATGGATCTGATCCGTCGGGCGGGTAAGGCCCTGACCGGGCCTCCGCAACTACCTACGGCAGATGAGAAGCTTCACAAGCCAAGGACACGATCAGGGCGCCTGTGGTCCCGTCTAGCCTTCTTCCGCAGGCCCCTGCGCCTTAGAGGGAACTCTACCATCTCCATACCGCTGGGTGTGGTCATATTGTTCCCCCTTATCGTCGTCATCCTCATCCTCATCCTCTTCGTGAGGCACCCGAACTCTCCGGGCAGGATACTCATGCCCGCCGGTGCTCCTCCGGCCATAAGGTGAGAGGCCCCAAGCCCACCATTTGTCTAGTTCCGGTGCTAATTCTGAGCTCTTCAACAGGAAAATAAGCGAAAAATACGACAAGACTTTCGTCGAAGGCTGTCTCGAGCCTGATACCTCCAAGCCCCGGGCCAATGGCGCCTTCGTCGTTTTGGCCAGAAACAAGGAATTGGATGGCGTGATCCAATCTATCAAGTCCATCGAGCGCCACTTTAACCGGTGGTACCACTACCCATACGTATTCCTGAACGATGGCGACTTCAACCAGACCTTCAAGGATACAGTCAAGAACTACACGTCTGCACCTGTTGAGTTTGGCAAGGTCGGTCCAGACATGTGGGGTTTCCCGGAATGGATCGACCCAAAGGTCGCCAAGGAGGGTATCGCCAAGCAGGGTGATGCCGCTGTCATGTACGGTGGTCTGGAGAGTTACCATGCCATGTGCAGGTTCTATTCTGGGTGAGTCCTGCTCAATCTGCGCTTCCCTCCCGAGGAGAGGGTAGGATACAGAGACAGCACACAGCGCCAGCTAAACAACGGCTACTAACGTTCTCGGTAGCTTCTTCTACAAACACCCCTTGCTCGCCAAATACGAGTGGTACTGGCGCCTCGAGCCTGAGATCAAGTACTTCTGCGATATCACCTAGTACGTTTGCTTGTCCCCTTGTGACTGGTAGCATGTCCTCCCGTGTCTGACAAGCTCTTCTTGCAGCGACCCTTTCCTAGCTATGATCGAGAACAACAAGACCTACGGGTTCACGATTGCTGTCAAGGAGCTCCGGGAGACCGTCCCTAATATTTGGCGTTACGCATCCGCCTACAAGCGTTTGAATAATCTTACGTCCAAGGGCCTGTGGGAGATGTTTACCGAGCCTAAACCCGAGCCTGAACAGAAGGACCCCGCCGCAGAGATGGAAGCGCCGCCGCTGCCAGAAGAGATCCTGCGCTCTGAGCCTGGCCGCAACGGTCTTCCCGAGATCGACCCCGAGGCCATGGAGGGTGAGAGCTACAACATGTGCCACTTCTGGTCTAACTTCGAGATCGCTCGCCTGAGCTTCTTTAGAAGTAAGGAGTACGAGGACTTCTTCGAGATGATGGACCGGAGCGGTGGCTTCTGGATGGAAAGGGTAATGCTGCCTCCTAACCAATCCCCCGCCTCGTGAACCTTCGCTAAGTCGCTAACCGTTTCTACCAGTGGGGTGATGCGCCGATCCACTCTCTAGCCGCCGGCGCCCTTCTTTCCCCTCGCGATATACACTATTTCCGTGACTTTGGGTACCGACACACTACCATTCAGCATTGTCCTGCGAACGCGCCCCTAGGAAGACAGCTCCCTCGTGAGCCATACCTTGAGAAGACAACCTTGGACGAAAAGAAGCGGGCTGAAGAGGATGACTACTGGGAGCATTGGGACCCACCCAAGGAGAACGGTGTGGGGTGCCGATGCCGATGTGATACCGATATCGTCGACGTCGAGGGCAAGGAAGGAAGCTGTCTTGCAGAATGGGTCGACGTTGCCGGCGGTTGGGCCAGCCCGTAACGTGGATACCGGAAGAGGTCGCCTGCAACCTGCGTCACAGTACACGACGGAATGGCCCACGACAAGGAGCTCACAGGCCTGGAAGGCTGGGCCGAATGACAGACAGCAAGTCCAGTCCAAGGGCCAGCCGGAAAGAACACACGCCGCGACTTACGTCGCATTGTGTATCTTGGAGTACACTTGTGTGGCTGAGAAGCGCGGTGCTGCCGCATGTCTGCTGACCTTCGCCACCGTTGTCGGGTTCGCATCGCACACTCGTCGTTTTGGTGGTGGCACGGCCGCTACCCTATCTACTGTACCAGGCGTTTACGAAACCACAAAATCATCCGTATTTCATCTTGCATGGGAGGACGGGTAGAGTAGATCGGGCGTCAGGCAAACAGGATTGCTGCTGCTGCGGACGACGCCGCAACCTGTCCTTTTTTGTTTCCCCATACGATACCACATACTTAATTGAATATACAATGTCAAGAGCCCACTTCCTCGTCGTTCTGTTTGTAAATTGGGAGATTTGTCCCGCGTTGCTGACCTCCTGGTGGTGATGTATCTGATGAATTGGAGGTTGAAACTCTCGAAACGGAGCGACGTGATATGCAATTTTCTATTTTTTTTTTTGGTGCTGAGGTCTGGCTGATGGGACTCTGGCCTGTTTTGCAGGCCCTATGAAGAATCCGATGTAGTCTCCGGAATTACCACTCTGAGCTTCCCGGGGGCTCGACCATATCTGTCACGGCCCCATGGCTCGCATCGCCGACGAGTCTTGCGTACTTGGCCAGCGTTCCCCTGAGCGGTTTTGTGACGGGTGGCTTCCAGTCCTTCTTCCGCTCCCTCAGCTCCTCGATGGTCACATTCAGCACGTCAATCCTGTTCTCCGTCGCGTCGATCCGCACCTCATCGCCGTCCCTCAGCACCGCGATGGGACCGCCCATGGCCGCCTCTGGGCAAATATGGCCGACGATGAAGCCGTGGCTGGCACCGCTGTATCGTCCGTCTGTGATGAGAGCGACGTTCTTGAGGCCAGCGCCGATGATGGCAGCGCTGGCTGTCAGCTGCTCTGGCATCCCGGGCCCACCGCGAGGACCCTCGTACCGTACGATGAGGACCATGTTCCCGTCCGTCGCCTTGATGTCCCCCCTTTTCAACGCCGAGTCCAACTCGTGTTCCTTGTCAAAGACTTTCGCCTTACCGGTGAACGACAGGCCCTCCTTGCCCGTGATCTTGGCCACTGCACCGTGCGGCGCGATGTTGCCACGGAGCACGCGCAGGTGGCCTGTCTTCTTGATGGGGTCGTCTAGCGGCCGGATGATCTTTTGGCCCGGGTCGAGCGAGGGCCACGCGGCGCAGTTCTCGGCGAGCGTCTTGCCTGTGACAGTCATGAGACTCCCGTCAATCAGGCCTGCGGCGATGAGCATCTTCAGCACACTGGGCGTGCCACCCACACGGTACAGGTCCTCCATCATGTGCTTCCCGCTCGGCTGCAGGTCTGCGAGATAGGGGATTCGGTTGCTCGTCCTGTCGATGTCGTCCAGCGTGAGCGGCACGTCGGCACTGCTGGCCATGGCCAGGAAGTGCAGGACCCCGTTCGTGCTCCCGCCCAACGCCATGGTCAGCACCAGGGCATTCTCAAAGGCGGCCCTGGTCATCAAATCCCGTGGTCGGATATCCCTCTCCATGACGAGCTTGATCGCCTCGGCCGCTCTCTCGCACTCTCTGGCTTTCTCGGGCGAGGTGGCAGGGTACGAGCTGCTGCCGGGCAGGCTCAGTCCCATGGCTTCGATCGCGGTCGCCATCGTGTTGGCCGTGTACATGCCACCACAGGCGCCCGAGTTGGGACACGAGTGCAGCTCCAGGTCCTCGAGCACGTCTGCCGGCGTGGCGGGGTCCCCGTTCGCCTTAGGACACTTGGCCTGCAGTTTTCCGTAGGTGTAGGCACCGCGCGCCTCGAGGCAGGTCGAGATGTTGACCTCAGAGTCGAGGAGGGCGCTGTGGCCCTTGCGGATGGCCCCGCCATAGATCATAATGAAGGGCCGGTTGTGGCGGGCTGCGGCCATGACCACACCAGGCATATTCTTGTCACATCCGGGAATGGAGATGTTGGCGTCGTGACGCTGCGCGCAGGTCACTGACTCGATGGAGTCGGCTATGATCTCTCGTGACTGGAGGGAGTAGCGCATCCCTAGGGTTGGGTATCGATCTTTAGCAGAGAAGAGGCGAAAAGGAAGTGAGAAAGCGCTCACCGTCACTGCCCATTGTGATACCGTCGCTGACTCCGATGGTATTGAACTGCCAGGCCAGCATGTCCTGCTTCTCTACGGACTTCTTGACGATCTTGCCCAGGTCCATCACTACTAGTCGTCAGTTCATGGTGTCCCGTCTGTCTCTCTCTCTCTCTCTCACTCTCTGCCCTGAGAAGAGGGTCATCGCCGTTCCCCCATGGTATTCATGTCTGAATACATATCGGGCAAACTCTGGATCTGCTTACGGTGGGTGCTGTGGTGGTGTGTCAGCTGTCATCAGTCCAAAGAAAAGACGTTCTGGACGGTTGTACTTGCTTGCATGGGTTGCCTTCCCACCAGACCGTTGCAATGCCCACCTGAGGGGCAGTCTCCATGGCCCGTTGGCCCTGTACACCGGCGGCGTACAGCATAGCCTATCTTTACTGTCAGTTTTGGGGTTCAGCTAGGGGAGGTGATGGTCCTCTATTGCTGACTGACCTTGGCCGCAGGAAAGTCATGGTCCCTTGTGATGGCATGAGACCACCGATTCAAGGGTCCTCCAGGCGGTAGACAGGGCCACTGTATGTAATCGTCTTCCCTGGGCAGATTCCTGGGCTGCTCTGCGCCGTTTCCAGGTGCAGCACTTCCTGAGGTACTCATCTTCTTTATTTGTTATTTTTGGGAGTCCAAACGCCGCTGGGAAGAATGGGTGGTCCTTGGACTAGGACGAATTGAAACGGTTAGAGATGGGGTATGGTTTTTCTGGATGCTGCTGCTGTTGCTGCTGCTGCTGCGAAAGTTCCACTGTAGAATTGAAGGGGGAAAGTAAAAATAGAGAGGTACAAGGACATATAGATGTAGTAATAGGAGTAGTAAATCTCGAGCCAAAGGTCAAGAGAGAGAGAGAGAGAGAGCATAGAATATATGAATTTTTAAATGTGTGTCTCTCTATATGTACGCATACACAACATCCTTACACCCACACACATACACACAAATGAAGCAAGGAACAACTAACATTAGGAACAAACAAGATCGTTAATTGCCCTCTGAATGCACTGTTTTCATCACATGACCTATGTCGGAGAGTAAAGACGTGGGGAGAGAAAAGAGAAAGAGCGAGAGGGGAATACCCGCTAAGCGGCCGGTTTTGTGCTAGTCCACTGCAGGCGCGATGGAGAAGGCGCAAAACCGCCGACAGCGCAGCATGTTTGACTGTCGCGGATTTCTCTGCCGAGGTGTGCACTACTGTGCATGATGACTGGGAGGAGAAGCTCGAAGCCTGAACAAGGACAGGCCCAAAAAGACAGAACGAGCCGAGGAGCAGAGGCGGGGGGCATCAGCAGACCGGCAAGTGCCCACTTTACCAGGTATTTATACTATAGGATCATTCTCGCCACTAGAAGTTAGCTATCAGACGTGGTGTGGGTGAGCAGAGCGACCCCAGGGGCGGGGGGCCTAGACGGCAAGACCGTTGACGAGGACGACAACAGCCTTTCATCTGCACATTGGATCTGGACCGGCGACGGAGACCTCAAGGGCGCCCTGACGCAATAAGCACACTCATTGCTCGGTATCCTACTGCTGCCTCCACGTATGGACATGAGCTGGCGCCATGTGAGGATCCAGTATTGTCATTCTTCCGATCGTGAGCAGGAGAGCAAAGGCCAAAAGTGTTTCGATGATGATGACACGGATGCGTCTTGCTGGCCAAGTACAGCACTAGGATGTAGATCTGTGGGTTTCTCTCCCCTCCTCTTTTTTCTTTCCCGCGGGGGAGATCCACTCTTTGTACGACCAGATGGATCAATTACCTTGCGAGCTTTGGAAATCATGTTCTCGTCCTTCTTTGATACCAATTCTTCTGCTACAGGGGGGAACAACACGAGACTAATACCGATGCAGTATTCCGCACTGCGTTCTTTGGGTAATTATCACGTTAGGCAGTAAATAGTAGTATATGGAGTTGGAGCTGGAGTTGTCGTGTGTGTGTGTGCTCGTGCGTGTATGTGAGGGTGTCCATGCCTTGGCGAGCCCAGGTCAAGCCTGAATACTTTACTGACTGGTTCGCCATGACGAACAAAACCATATCGGCTGACGCACCGAGCGAATGATCTTGTGTGGGTGGTATTTGATAGCGTTGCATTGAAATACAGAAAGGACATATACCATTTACCGAGACAGTACATACCTTGTTTGTACCCATGCAAGAAGAAGCTTTTCACCCCCCTTACAAGTTTATAAAATGTGAGATGTGAGGAGACCGGGGGGTGGTGCGGTTGAACGAGGGAGGTCGCTTGGCGTGGTGGTGTCGGTTGAAGCCTCGGGATACTCTTTTTGGTACTCACCAAGGACTGACTGTCCTTTTCCAGGTACGTATGCTCCTCCTCTTGAACAATTCCCAAAGGAAATTAAAAAAAAAAAAATAAAAAAAAAAAAGGAAAAGGAAAGGTATTCAGCACTGTTATATCAATCTGTGACGATACCACTTCAACCCCCCCATGCCCAGCCTTGTGCCACTAGAGGCAGGATGGGCTGCAGCGGAGAAATAGATGAAATAGCTAGGCATGCTCTGGGTGGTGGTCTCACCATGTTGAAGAAACGGCAAGTCCTAGCGAATGGATCCAATTACTCCACAGCAGTCAAACGTGATTGTTATCGGCACTGGCGAAAGGGCGAAACAACAAGGCTGACAATTGAAAGAAAATGAATTGAACTGAAAAAAAATAAATAATTCATGGTATTGCTTTCCTTCTTGACTCGCCGTCACTGAAGCAAGGCTGTATATATATGTATATATAATAATATCCAAAGCTGACCTGGCACGTTCCTCTTTTGATGAGCTATCAATGCCGGCCGCCTGCAAATCTTAAAACATGCCATTCCACACCGTCTTCTTTCTCTTCCCAAGTAGATCCCCATTTTCATTGGTTGCCCCTCAAGATGCGCCATGCATGCGTACGATAAAAATGTCAACAATATATCAAAAAGTAGAAGCTAGGAGCTCTCCCCGGCCCCGCGAGCTTTCCCTCGCACGTATTGCACCAAGCCGCCCCGTCTCTCAAGAAACCCGTCCACCGAGAAGTGAAGTATCGCACCAGAGAGTTTTGAGTGTTTGTGTGTGCTGTATTCGAGGGTTGGTTCGGAAGAGGTCGTTTGGTGTTTGATTGTATTGATGGATTATGATTGACCGAGAGTGGCTTCATAGCCGAGGTTTCAGTGGATAGGTGTGATGGGGTTCTTCATGGGTACCGGCTGTGGCCAGCCTCGCATGGCTTCGTAATGATTTGACAAAGGAAAATGGATTTGGAAACAAAGGAAATGGTTGGTTTATGTAGTCGGTGTGCCCAAAGCTCTAACGCCTGAGGGCAGCATGGATTTTTGTGGCTGGGAGCGAGGGCCTCATACACCACCCGAAAGGATATGTGTTATGTGGTGGCCTGCTCCTCCCATGACAAGGGAGTGGGGTGAGTGTGGTTTCTTTCTCCCTCTAAGCACCGACACCAACCATTACCCGTTCCTCCTCCATTCTCCTCACCAACTCCCTCTCCTTGGGGCCGCGAGGGCTTGCGTCGATACCCAGGATCGCAGAGATGCGTGTCCTGTTCTGCCTGTTGTAGCATTCCCGCTCATCGGGGCTGCCAGTAGGCGTGATAGGGGTGGGTGCGGCGTAGTTGTGACCGTGAGACCCAGTAGCCGTGCCGGCATTGCCAGTGCGCCAGGCCTGCTCGAGCGTCGAGGGGTGGACCCCGCTGCCGTACTCTGCTGCTACCGTCGACCAGAAGTTGGAGCGGTGGTTGCTGTACACAGCCTGAAGACGGCCCATGTCGATCGGCTGAGACCCGGTGCACGAGGGTGCCGGCAGGGTGGAGCAGTCCAGCCGGAGCGAGGTCATGCTGGCGCTGCGCGAAGGGGCTGCCGAGGATACCTGGGAGTGGCCGACAGCAGAGAAGCTGGCCGAGGGCAGGAGGGGGCCACTCTGCTGGATGTGCTCCTGCAGCGGGCTGTAGCGGGGCCCGCCGGCGGCCAGCGTCATGTTCGCAGGCTTGGGCAGGATAGCCGGCAGGCGAGGCGAGCTGTGCGATCCGAGACCATGGTTCATGATGCTGGGGAGCTGGACGGCACCGCCGGAAGCGTAGCTGGCGAGGGACATCGGGGGTGACACGCTACGGCTGGGAGATTCGTGGATGGGACTCGGGATGGCGGCGTGCATGAGGGGAGAGTGGCCATTGGAGGAGCTGCTGGAGGACATGGATGTCGTCCTCTTGCGGCGGTTGCTACCGTGGCTGAGCTGGTGGTAGTGGAGGCGGCATGCCAGCTCCGTCTTCTTCAGGTGGGCGGCGATGTGCTTGTATGGCATTTTCTGCAGGCGTGTCTGGAGCAGGTACATCTCCTATAATAATGATAAAAAAAGAACCAAATTTGTCAGCACGGGTTGTTCTCCTATATGTAACACATCATGACAGCCCACGTACCTCGTCCTCGCTCCAGGCCCTGCCTCCACCGGTAGACGAGGTCTTGCGGTGGTGCTTCGTGATGCCGTACTCGTGGCGCTCCAAGGCGTCGGTCGTAGGCGTATACATGGCTGAGGACATGGTCATGGCCATCGTGGGTGACATGGTTTCGTCGGGTGGTTTGGGGGTCCCAGGGATCAAAGTAAAAAATTATCTCGTTTGTGTGTGTGTGTGAGGGGGAAAAGTAGTCTGCAGACCCAGTCTGCTTTTTCGAATCGAAGAAGTGATGGCTGCTAAACCGCAAGTAGGGGTGTCTTTATTCTTTCTCTGGATAGGTCTCCCAGGACGAATCGAAAGTCGAATATGCCGCACGAATAGAGATAAAGCGGATTACACCGTTGACTAAAAGTGTGCGTAATTCGTAAAGAGTGGAAGGGCAGCCAATCCAGTTGGGTCTCCTTCGAGACAAATGAGCGTATGGGTTATAGCTGCAGCAAAGACTAGCAATTAAAAGAAGGGGAGGATAACACAAACACACACACGCAACAGCGTCGTGATAGTAGGCCGTATATATAAATATGATATCAGGATCAACCGTGACAATGAAGAGAAGAAGTAAACAAGATCCAAACGGTCTCGGGGAGGGAATGGGCCGTGATAATAAGTCACTCGGCCGTGCTGCGCTCTTGTTGATAGATGTCAGGGGTCATGCCCAGGACCAGGACTATATGATATTGCGACACGGACATCTCGAGTCTTGTGTGGGGAGGGCAGGGGTCCAAGGGGGAGAATGATAGACCAGGTAGTTCTCTAGCTTCGTTACAGACCCTTCTTGGAAACCCTGGGCCCCAGAGAAAAAGGGTGTGCTGCGACTAGGTTGAGAAGAAACTTGTGTGGCAGGGCTGGAACGAGGAGCATAATACTGTATTGTTTTGACCCACCCAGCCTGTTCCTGGCCTGGTGCTGCCTTGTCTTGGCTTGCCCACTGTCGTGGCGCTCTCCCCACGCCTCAGGTAAGAGCCGCACAGTTGGAGTCTCATCCAGACATGAGCATCCCGGCCCCGCCCAGAGACCCATGAGAGACAGAAAGAAGGAAGGAAAAAGAGGAGACCCCAGTCCACAAGGATGACGGAGACTCATCCTGTCTTGGGAGTACGTGAGACGTTGGGTTATGGCGTCAGCACCAAGTCGTCCTCGCAACGAAAGCCGTCGAGGGGCGTAGAAGAAACAGAAGAAAAAAAATAAATAAAGAATCTCACAGTGCTACAGTGGTTGGGTAAAATGGGATGCATCCTAGCCGCTGCGCTGCGCTAAAGAGGAGAAGAAGGGAGGGGGGAGAGGAGGGGACGCCACAAAGCCACATGCGCTTCCTGGCGTACAGAAATGCTTCGCATGCATGCTGGCATCTTGTTCCAGCAAGAAGGGGCGGGGTCCTCATGCGGAGGGGAGGACGGATAAGAAGCGACGGAACATCCGAAGTGCAAGAAGGGGGAAGCGAGGCGGTAAACAGAACAGAACTGGGACACTTGCCCTTGACAGGGTCCGAATCTCTGGAGTTCGCGTTACATTGATCGTTTTTGTTCTGTTTGACATGACTACGCCTCTCTCTGGCTGGACATGGTAGCCGAGAAGCCGATCCCACCCACAGCTTGTCGCAACAGACATGCGAAGGAAAGAATGTACGATGACAGGCCTCATTTTGTCGCCTAGAAAAAGAGAATCATGAGGGAGGAAAAGAGGACACCTCCCTCTCCCCCGTCCCTCCCTCAAAAAGCAATGCCGAGGTCAATAGCAAAAAACACACACGAAAAAACAAAACAAAAGGGATGATGGGATGGGTTGGGCGCAGCAAAAGCAAAAGCAGACAGCAGGCCTGGCCGCGAGGCAGGTCCTTGAACCCCCTTCTCAAACCTCTTGTCGACAGCGGTCCACCCAGGACATGTTCATGTTCCAAACAGGCTGGCCAAACGGGCCTCCTTGGGCTGATGTTGCTGACGGAACGGTTCAACAGCGACAACAACAACAACAATAATAATAACAACAAACATCGCCATCGCACACGGCGGCTCCACACGAGTAAGGACACGGCGGTCTCTGCAATTGCTGCAGTGCGCTGGCTGGCTGGAAGGAAGGGGTCGAAGAGGGAAGAGGGCAAGCTTCTGCCATGTTTGACGTTGGGAAGAGAACCAGGGTCCTGTGGCCGGCGTCTGCTTCAGATCGTTACAGAGCCGCGCCTTGTTTGCGATATGCTGCAGCCTTGTGATTGGACGACGACTCCGATTCCTGTCTCGTGGGCCAGACCTCTACTGGGGCCTGCCTCCACCCAGGCCTGCCACGTACCAGGGCAAAGCGGGGTGTACTCCAGTGTACACGGTTCCTCTACAGGGGTACCGTGTCCACAGCAGTACTACTGTAGTAATTTTGTGTACCGTAGTACAGGCTTGTTGACACTCAGGCGTACAGCCCCAGCTCCGAATGGGGGAGTAGCTCCTCCCCTGGACAGCGATAAAGTTTAGTACATGCTATGGCGAAAAGGCTTGACCAAAACTCTAGTGATTGGGTCCACTTGTTTGGTTTGACACCAACCAACCAAACAGGAGCCGCTGCTCAAGTTTCTCTCTCTCTCTGTCCTTTTTTTTTTTTTTTTTTTTTTTTGGCCGTCCCCCTTCGTCATCAACAATCTTGGGTCAGCTTGCGGTCTCGAGCAGGGTGAAAGTGACCAGGGAACCTTTCTCTCTCTCCTACCCACACCTTCAAGTTTCCCCAGAGTCAGGATCAATGGCCTTGTCAGGGAGCCTGTTTCCCCCTCCCCCCGGTAAGGCCGTTCTCCTTCTACCTGAACAAGCGCCCTTTCGTGTTTCCATGGACGTCTTCTCACCACAGACGCCTCTTCATTTCTGCTGCTCGGATCCTTCTCCCATATGGGCTTCTGGGGCCCGCGTGTCCGGTCCGCAGTGATTAGCGAGGCTTTTGCATCATTTCGTATTGTGTGTTGATTTGGCTGGGACGGTCCTGACGCAGCCAGACCATGGTACCTGCGCTCATGGTTCAGAAACGATCTGGGCATTAGTACAGTTCCTATTGCTCAAGGGTCCAAGTCGATAGTGGTTTCTACTGCGCATCCTGCATGAAAGCGACCCAGAGATCTTGGTGCGTGTGGCTGTCGTGACCATTGAGTGTGTGGGTCCTCTCTTTGCGGACCGGTCAAGGCGTGTCGTCCCTTGAAACTCGCTAGAGGGTCCCGAGTAGCCACAACCTTCACAGGTGTGTCAGTCTTTACCATACTCGTCACTGGATTTTCTCAACTCTTGTTCAGATGGAGAACCCCACCGATGCCCACAGTACAAGGGTGGACTAGCGACCAGAGAACGCGTTTCTAGAGAGCTTCATAGTTGTACATACTGGGGTAACACCAGTAATACAACGTTTCCCAACCAAACGCCTAAGCCATTTCGACAACCCACTAATGCATGTCAATATTTAGTGCGTCCTCTCTGTCCTCTGGCGCTATGTACGGCGTAAAGGTTGCATTTGCAAGATTACCTCGTACCTAAGATCTAGCCCTGTCGACGCCGTTTGTAAACTTCCCTCCTTCTCTCTCTTTTGTTGTCTCGTCGTCGGCGCTTAGTAGTTGGCGTAGCCAGCCGCAGCAGTTTCCTCCGTCGTCTGTATGCCATAGATGGGATGAAAATAACCCAGGTCCTTGATTGGAGCATCCAGCGGTTGGAAACGCCAGCAGTAAGGCCAGCTCTGGGTTGTGTGTTTGTGTATGTGTCCTGGTTTTATGCGATGCCCTTGGACGGCTTTGTCTCGTCTCGACTTCTGTTGTAGATCAATGGGTCCAAACAGGCGCATCCTTTCCCCCAACGTCGAGTTTTGTCTTGTTTGACGACGTCTTCTAGCAAAGATCTTGGTTTCGTCGGTGGCAAGATGAGGCGGTCAGGCCATGCCAGTCGTCAACTCAGCTCCACGGCCAAAATTAGGATTCCCCCCCCCCCCCCCTTCTCTCTCAGCACCTCGTTTCTGGAGCGGAGTAGCATAAACATCAGGGCTTCGGCAGAGCCTTCTCCGGCCGCTGTGACACCTTGGGGTCCGTCGCAAAACATCTGAGGTTGGAACAGCTTTCTCCGCCCATGACGGGCGTGATCCTGATCGACTCTTGTTTTCCCTCCCCTTCTCCCTACTGAAGAGCATCAGAGGAGACTGCTGTACGATAAAGGCGATCACACAGGGGCATGTATGATTGGGTCCACCGTCCGTTCGGTTTCTTGGAAATGTGGCATTGTTTATCAATGATATCCTCTTGAGAAGCATGACGGTAACATTCGCTGCCCAGCCCTGAATATGAATGCGAGGACCACAGTAGGTGATCCTGCTGGTGACCATGATGCGAAGCTGTGACCTTATGTTTGTGCCTAACCGTCTCCAGGGTTTTGTAGCTGTTTATGTGAGTGCATGCGTCGAGGCTTCACAGTTGCATTGTTTATCATAGCACCAGCCTTCTGAGCATCCCGACCCGAGACTCACTGGGCGCTTTAGAGGCAAAAGATACGAGCAGACGATCGTCTATAGGGCCAGGGTTGGTGCTCCACAAAGAGTAAGGTCCCTGGGGGGTTTCAACAGCCGCTCGTAGTGGAGGAAGACTCGTTATACAATGGTAGACGCCCATGCTTATCGGGCGAGTTATATGGTAGCACCGTGGCAGATGGCTTCGTTCCAGCCAATTTTAGAGGCCACTGTTTGAGGCCCCGAAATAGCCAGACGATTGAAGGAAGAGGTTGTTTGCGGCCGCCGCGAAGGCAAGTTCGCTTGTCTACTCACGCGCTTTGACGTTGTATATGCATTGCCGTTCTGGGGTCTCGACGCGGACGAACACGTCAGCGTGCAGCGGCCGTGTGCGAGGCAAGCGGAAGTTGGGACGAGGAGGATACCTTTCCACGAAACATCACAAACAGCAACGGCCTCTATACATCGTGTGGGATGCCATATACTGCAGTCGTGCCCAAGTGGTCCGCAGACTATACAAGAGTACGGACTATACCCTGGATAAGGTTATCTCATCCCCGGTTGAACCCCTGACCCGAACTTGGTCTGGGGCACCCTTGTTGAGACCTGAGGGCAAGGTTCCCGCCTTTGTGGCTGTTTCGACGCCATGGGTGCGATGC